AAATAAGGGCGCGAGGGGGGTGTGTGAAGAAACCATCTCCTCCTTCTTTCGGATCTGATCCCAAAGGTCTAAAGAATGTAATAAGGTTGGCGCCAAGGTCTTTGGCCTCTGCTTGGGTTTCATCCATTTAAGTGCCTCAATAAAGGGGCCTTTATGTGAGCTGACTTCCAGCCTGACCCAGTCAGGAACAACTGACTTGAAATAGATAGATGATAATTGTGAGATTTGTGCAGCCTTATAGTATAAGAGCAGATTTGGTACCCCTAAGCCTCCCTGATTTCTAGGTTTGGAGAGAAATTCTTGTTTTTTTTCCCCCCAGATAAATTTAGAGATGGACTTCTGAAATGTAATAAGTTCCGTCTGTTGAATCGGGATTGGTAGTGTCCTAAATAGATACAATATATTAGGGGATAACGTCATTTTAATTGAATGGATTCGCCCTATCCAAGATATATTGTATGTGGTCCATCTAATCATATCTTCCCTGAGAGATTTAAATAATGGAGGAAAGTTTACGATATATAATTTAGTGTATAGGGGAGTGAGTTTCACTCCCAAGTATTGTAAAGAGTCTGTGCGCCAGTTAAATGGGAACGAATTTTTGAGGCCTGACCAGATTTCGGCAGAGAGATTAATATTTAGTGCTACTGACTTGGAGGCATTGGGGTTGATTTACTAACCTTATAAACACACCACGAACATGTATACACCTCTGTAGTGTGTTCCCTCCCAGCATGATCTATTGGTGGAATCTAGACACCTTTGTAGTGTGTACACACCCAGCAGGTGTGTTGTGCAAAGCCCTGCATGAATTGCAGGGTGATGTTGTGTAAATTAGCTCTATGTTGTGTTGCTTGCGTTGATGAATGCAGGAATGTAAATGCATGAGCTAACCATTTTTGTCTAAACTGTGAAGCAGCATTATATATGCATCATGTGCATGATTTTTCCATATATGGCATTAGTGGAAATATGCTTTTAGAGACTTTTTGGTTGATAAATACGTTTTGCTGTGTGAAAATCACACGCACCTGGTGCGTGTGTGTGTTTAGGTTAGTAAATCACACCCATTGACTCAGAGTCCTGATATTTATGCATATTCTTCCAGAAGTGCCATAATGTTGGGTAATGACACCAGTGGAGAAGTTACAAATAACAGCATATCGTCTGCAAACAAGGCGCATTTATGTTCCTCTAGGGAGCTTTTATCTCTTTAATACCTATGCTATTGTGAAGTAATATTGCCAGAGGTTCGATTGCCATAGCGAATAATAATGGCGAAAGGGGGCATCCCTGCCTAGTACCCCTTCGAATTTGGATAGGGTCTGAGAGATAGCCTTGTAGGCAGATCTGAGCTGATGGGGAGGAGTAAAGAACACTTACTAAATTAAGAAATTTGGGCCCAAATCCCCAGGATTTGAGAAGTTGTAGCAAGTATTCCCAGGAAACCGAGTCAAATGCTTTTTCCAAGTCTATAGATAACAGCATTCCTTGTTGGGGAGGGGTGTCATCCCAAGGGTGGTTAAGCATTGCGATTAGGTCTAGGGCTCTTCTAACCTGATCTGGGCCTTGTCTTCCTCCAATAAAGCCTACTTGATCTCGGTGTATGTAACAGCCTATAAAGCTGTTTAGTCTATTAGCGTATATTTTAGATAGGAATTTTATATCGTTCTTTATCAGTGAGATAGGTCTATAAATAGAGACTTCCCCTGGGTCTTTGTGTGGCTTAGGGATAATACTTATATAAGCTCTGTTCAGATCCGGGTCCAGAGGGGCGCCTGAGTGTACACTGTTAACATTTAAACGGATAAAAACTCATGAAGAAAAGGATTTGAATGTCCCTTTATTAGTAAAGACTAGAGCACAGCAACCAGAAATGACAAATGTGCCAATTCTGCTACCCCACCTCAAGTTGATTTTTTTGGAATTCAACCGAATTCCGAATCTGAATTCCGAATCAGATCCGAATACGAATACGATTCCCGAAAACGAAACACATATAGGATCTGAATTCCGAAAAACAAAATAAACGAAACGAAACAAATTTTTAGCCGCTGCTCATGTCTAATATCTACCAGTCAGATTCATGTTTTTATTTTTTCTTGCCTATACTAGAAAATTGTCACCTGTAAACCAGTTGTTTACTATAGGCTACAAAGATGGCTAAATTGTGTAGTTGACACACTTATTCTATACAAACTGAATGTGACACTTTCATTAGCTAAGACTTGGCAGTTCAAAGGTGCTTCATACACATCCTTGTAATGCAGTTAAACCTGAGCCACAATTGGAATAGATGTATCCGTAATTAAAAAAGCTAAAATGTGTCACCGCTAAATCATTAAAATGACAGCAATTATGTGTGTTTAATGCAAGAGTAATTTTTGGGAATGAATACAATGAGTTTTGCGACTACTGAAACTGCATTAATAGCAATTAAATGCAACGGTAACCTCATTTACACAAGAGACAGAGATCTGGAGTCTAATGCTGCTGTAATGTCCCTGATTGTTAGGGAAGTCGTAGGCAGAATATTCAGTGAACCTAAAATTCGTCTGCCTCTGCAGAGTGGTCACCCTCAAGCTGCCTCATTCATACTGACATTCTGTAGAGGAGAACTGCACTTAATGCCTATGGCGATGTGTGTCTTCCACATTTTTTTCAGTTAAATGTTGTTACCTTTTTTCCATTTTTTATTTATTTAACAATATTTTACTTTTTGTTACTTTTAGCTCCTCCCACTTGATCCACATTTTACTTATTTACAAATGTCAACTTGAGAGTACAGTTTGGAGGGTGATAAGGAAGCAGTGCACAGGGGTGATATGTGAGTATGGACAAATTGCCATGGTTTTAACAAATCTAGCATAATCATAATGGTCATTATACCAAACTGTATTTAAATATATATGTGTTGTAGAAGGGTGTGGCAATGCTGCAATGTCGTTTGGCTACACAGTCCCCAAGAACACTCAGGGGTCTATTCACAAAGCTGCCGAAGGATCTGGCCGTAGCTTCGGCCAATCCTTCGGCTGGCTTCGGCCCCAGGACCCCTTCGGTTCAGGAGAACCGAGGGGGTGCTGTACGGGCTATTCACAATAGCCCGTACAGCTCCCGATCACGGCCGAGCAGCTCAGTCGATGGCTGCCCTCGGCAGCTTTCTGAATAGACCCCTCAGTTACAGGGGCTAAGAAGTTCCAGAAGGTGAATACCTCTGTAGGGAAGAAACTGGCTTTTTAGTTTCTTCCAGGTTCTCCGGACTATAGTGGGATGAAATCTCTAGTCCTGGGGACAGGTGTTGCCAATGTCCGGTCTAGGAGGATCAGGTGGCTGAGAGCAGCCTTATTAGGAGTTTGGACCAGAGCTCAGGGAAGTTGTGGGTGTGCAGGAGGCAGACGGCCACAGGCAGACTCTGCTGTGTGCGCGAGCACAAGTGACACAGCTAGGAAGGCTGGAGAGGTCAAGAGGTTGGTGACCCTGAGAATACCTGTTAGAGAGACTGAGAGAGACAGTGACCCACGAGGGGTGAATACTGAACCACTTGGAGCTGAGGAAAGCTGCTGAGAAATACTGAGGACTGTATTTACAGAGAAATACGGTAAAGTCCTGGGACTATCACACTGGGAGTGTATGGGGCAGCCAGATGTCGGTGAGATCAAAACACAATGTTTTGATGAAAGTCCAATGAATTGTTATGCTTCATTTATGCTGAAGAAAAGCGGGTTATTTTGTGAAGTTTATGGATTGTTGACCTTTGAATGAATAAATACTGTCCTTTTATATTAAAGTCAGCTTCAGAAGTGGTTACTTAACGCTCACCAATGTGCTATATTCCCCAAACTATCACAGTATAAAATAACGTGCACAAAATACAGTGAACAAAGAGTGCTCATTACTTTCCTTCTCAGTATAACTACTGATTCAAGTAGGATAGTCTAATACAGGGGTGCCCATAAGGTTGATCGCGATCTACCAGTCGATCGCGTAGCTTGTAAATAACTGGGCACACATAGTACTATGTGTCCCCAGTTATGAATGAACAGGATGTGATTTACATCACTTTCTGTTCATTCATGAGTACATAGGTTCCTCCCCATTCAGAAACTGGATGATAGTAAAATATGTTCTGAATGAATGGGAAGCCTCTGTGCTTCCCATTCATTTAGAACAGAGGCTGCAGAAAAAGAGATTTTTTGTGTCCTCAATTTCTTTTTCTATTTTAAAAGGGAAATATCAGGGGGCTGTTTAGACCCCTAATATTTCCCTGAAGCCCCCCCAAGAGTAAAAAAAAATTTTAATGAAAAAAATGAAAAATGAAATAAAACATAAGAAACACAAAAGGAGCTGGCTACGGCTATGCTCCCGCGGTGCTCGTGCGGCTGCCGGCTGAATGTGTCAGACGCTGCAGACGGAAAGGGGCAGGACACCTCTCCCCATGTGCAATGTTGGCCACACAAGCACCACCGGAGGACAGGATGTCGGAGCCTCTAGGATGCACTGGAATGTAAGCCGGCCGACACCCTGCGTTCAGGGGCAGGAGGGGGTGTGGGATTGTATTGAAGTCTATGGCACTGCAGCCATGCCCCCCGCCCACAGTGTGATCGCCCGCACTCTGAACGCAGGCACATTAGTGCCTGCATTCTGGTCCAGTGCGATGTGCAAAAATAGTGCTCGCAGCATTTTTCCGGATCGCACTGGACTGGAAGGCAGGCACTAATGTGCCTGGGTTCCGGGTGCATGCGATCGCACTGTGGGCAAGGGGCCTGGCTGCGGTGCCTGACTGCGGTGCCATTGACTTCAATGCACTGCCACGCCCCCTCCTGCCCCTGAATGCAGGTTCTTTTTCATTGGTAGATCTCATTGAGTTTGTCATTTGAAAAGTAGATCTCCAGACAAAAAATTGTGGGCGCCCCTGGTCTAATACATACTGTACATGGCCAGCGTAAGAATTAGTTAGTTTTGGAAGGCTCTAGGTTGCTGCTTTAATTGAATGTACCTACCAAAGCAGCCTCTTGATCTCGAACAGCAGTATTCAGTATATTTTTCAGCGTTCCCGTCTTCTCTTTCAACTGACTTCTTATTGTCGCATTACTCTGAGGCAGGATAAAATGAACACACAAGGAAATCAGAACAGAGCATGGCATGATTACGGAAGGCATAATGCCACTTGATGTAATCCTGGTGTAATTACACAACTCAATCCCAAAGATTAATGTGTGCCCCGGAAGGGGCTGATCAAGTTTATTAATAGACTGAGAAGATATAGATAAAATCAGTGCCGAATTATGAGATGCAGCATATGTTTACAAATGGCAGTAATTCTAGAAAGGTCACAAAGGGGTCAGTCATCTATGGCTGTTGGATGATTTTTTATAGGAGATAAAGTGACACTAAAGTGACTGTTCTGGTCTGGACAGAATCTGGACATCGTGGGAACAAGCCCTCACTATTAACAAAATTGTATCTTATTTGTGTATCACTCGGCTGCAGATCCTCAAATCATCTCTGAATTTGTGCTGACACTGTTTTTCTGGAGGGTGGCTACTTTTGTTCCCCATGGTCCCTGTGTGTGTTGTAAAGTAGTCACCGCTCCATGCTCACTTCTGTGATGGACTACAATCTCATGTTTCGTTTACTAATTTGTATTGAGACTGTAGTCCATCACAGGAGTGAGCTTAGAACAGTGATTACTTTACAACACACACCATGGGGACCATGGGGGACAAAAGTAGCCACCCTCCAGAAGGAAGGACAGTGTCAGCACCAATTCAGAAATAATTTGAGGATCTACAGTCGAGTGATACACAAATACGGTAAGCTACATTTTTGTTAATAGTTAGGGTAATTGAATGCATTATGAAGATTTAACTCTTGAGTTTAGTGTCACTTTAACTCCTATAAAAATCATCCAACGTTTTCTCCCCCCCGTTTTTTGGGGGTTTGGTGCCCCCTTACAATTCCTACCAGACATAAAGGGCCTGGTATGACTTTTGCAGTGAACTCCACATCTTTTTTTGTTACTTTCTAACTTGGGGTCCCTCCTAACATTTCTACCAGACATAAAGGGTCTGGTATGGATCGGGAGGTGGACCCCACGCTATACTTTTTTTTTCTTTTTCGGCAGACCGTCCTCCCTGCTTTCACTGTGTGCATATGCATTCAGCTCGGCTGAGCTCTTTGGCTTCCTTCAGCTGCTGTACGTGCTATTGTGAATAGCCCGTACACCAGCCCTTCGGTTTGGCTGAACTAAAGGGCTCTGGCGGCCGAAGTGAGCCAAAGGATTAGCCAAAGCTATGGCTATATTCCTCGGCTCTTTAGTAAATAACCCCCTAGGACTTCAGGATGCAGGAACTGTATTGCATGGGTAACACTAGCCCCAACTACTGGCTAGTAGCTACATATAAAAAATAGAGGTTGTTACAAGCTGTTGCTGTCTTTCCCTAGGCTTTGATAAGACAATGAAGGAGCAGCAGCACATTAATGAGTTCAAATCACTGCTTGCTCTGCTCTTTTCTACTGTCAGTATGCTGCTTGCCAGCCTATCTACATGGAGCATAGCCTAACTGGTTCCCAGTGCTGTCCCTGCCTCTCCCAGTGAGGAAAGGGGGATTACAGGAGACCAACACCAACTATATGCATTTAAAAATACATTTAATACTTTATTAATTATTTAACTACTTTAGCTGTATTATTAATGTATCTCTGCCTGTAGTTCTGATTGAAATGTAGGATATTGGAAATACGCTTAAACATTTTGCTTTTACAGGTGTTCTGATTCATGTGAAAGAACATAAACACATGTATCACATAAATAGAAGGAGATTACCTGAATTAATGAAAGAGTTTCCAGCATTGGAACAAACCCCTGAACATTTTGTAGAGTCACCAGAGTTGCATGAATCTAGAAGAGAAAAAAAAGGATTAATTATGACTACTTACAATTGTAAACCTTTTTCTATAAATGTGAGTAAAATAACCACTGCTGAAAGGAATTGATCACTTCTACAGCCCTAATGTTGTATTAAATGCATGTATGCATGCATGCAATTTAGAGGTGCATGATTTAGAAATTTTTCACATATTGTAATTCTACTACCTCTACCATTCAGTGTCAATTTTTAGTCCCAAGAAGACAATGGCATTTTAGTGTAAAATGGATTTAGACTGGCCACAACTGTCATTTCTTAGCAAATCACATGGTAAAATATGAATATTTAATGTGGAAGAGGATGTTCTTCCACTGGGTATTTATTCCAGTTTTCCACAACACGACATCCTTTTTTCATCCTTTGTTGCATCTCAGTGCTGCAGACACATCCTGTCTACATGCATGCTCTTTAACAAAGGCTGTATGGCATGGCATTTGACAAGAGTGGTTCATGCCTACGTGTTGACAATAGGAAGACAGGAACAGATCATTGTTACCCTTTAACAGGAAGTGTCTGAACAAGGACATTCATGGCAGGATGACCAGATATTATTTTAACACCTTACCGCTGGCAGGCATGACACGTATATGTGTCACCCCAGAGGGTTGGCCTTAAATCTGGCTGTATGTTTATATGCTTCAGCTGACCTACTGTTCTGCCGACCAACTGTTCATTAGCGTGCTCCCAGAACAGTGACCGAGTTGTCAGCAACATCTCCTGATCATTGTTTACGATCAGTGTGAGTTAACAATTTGAGCACTTTGACAGATAATCACAGTGATCACATGATCAGGAAGCCTGCCTCTGACTCTCGGTGGTAGGATCCCCTTTAACCCTTTAGCTTCCAACCACGCATGTAGTACGTCACTAACAGTGGGCCCCTCTAAATAGACTCCAGGTGGCTATAGACGCGTCAGAATGTACCTGGAAGCGACACTAATTGCATCACTTCCAGTTCCACAGATGTCATTCCCCAGCTAGAGAATCACTTAAGTAGCTTCTATGCAGGGAAAAGGTGACACATAGGCCTCATTCACACGAGAAAAGGCCGGCACTTACAGCTCCGTGCTGCGTGCACGGCCGTATCGCTCAGTTCCCAGGAAGGACAGGTGCTGCCTGTGATCAGTATGCAGCCCCTGCCCTTCTATATGGGAGTACGTGGCCATACGGTGCCTTACGCTCACCTAAAGTGCAGGTCTGTACAGGTGCGGGTGTCCCGGCTCGGACGCAGACAAGATCCATCCTGTCAGCGTACGAGTATGGACACCCTCACGGACGCGCAGGGCGGGTGAGCGTAGGGCGCTACACATGTCAGGTATCTCCACATGTGCCAGAGTGAAAGCAATAATTCTAGGGCTAATATTTATGGTTAACTCTATACTCATGACCTGTACAGGATTTTAAAGTGTCACCTATGGACAATTTGGGTTACCGTATTTTTTCACTGTTTCACAGCCACACACCATTATTAAGCTTGGCATGTTGGGTATTTATTTATATGGCGTAACCTCACTGTACATCCGTTTTACAGGATCTCTGCTTTCAGGAATATATAACTCTTGGGGGTTATAAGTATTTTTCAGGCCTAAAAATGTAGATTATAACATGTGTGCCAAAAAACGCCTTGGTAGCGAAAGGGTTAAGGGCTGCCAGGAGTCGGCGGCAAGAGGTTAACGTAGATTTAAACCTATTGTAAATGACTTTATGAGGTTAGTATTTGTGCTATAGGATTTATAGTATCCCACCTGTTGCAGGATGCTATTGAAGGGGACCTGATCCACATCACTGTTGTTATACTCTTGTAGAACTCTGACGGCTATAAAGGACATCAAGTTCAGTGCAGCTACATTCAAAGTGAAGTTGTTAATCTTTTCCTCAAGATCTGATGTATACTGCGGGGAGGAGATGAGAAAGTAATAAGAAAACTTGTTCATTACAATACGACCTGTCATTGAGATTAAAACTGTGTCTCCTTCATCCCATTAACATTACTCATTAGTTATTAATACACATACTAAAGAGTGACTCAACTGTCACACCGAACTGAAACATTATCAGCCCTTTACCCAATACTAGCCTGAAGCTGAAACTTAAAGCAAATTATAGTGTAGGATGATACGAAACACACAGGATGATTCTGTATAAATTAAATCAACCATAACATATGAATTAATTGTATCTTCTAGCATTGTGAGAAGAAGACTCCTTTTGTTTGTTTCTGTCCGGTGACATGTTATAGTACAATCTAATGTCTATAGCTGCAGGCTTATGGAAATATCATAATTTGAAAGTCATATTGACTGCTGCTTACCTGGGTAAGGTTGAAAGCGCTGTCCAAGTCAATAGGGTTGCTAAATTGAAGAACATCCCAAATTGGAGAGCCTTTCTTGCACTCGCTGGGGGTAAGAGACATAAAGTAAGTCAAAGGGTGCAGAGGCAGGATTACCAGTCTGAATTGCCAAGTGTAATTTAAACCACCAATGTGCATGCCTTATGGTGGGTATGGGGCACATGCTGCAAACCTCCGTAGAGTCCCATTCACACAGCACCTCTATTACTTGATTAGACAGGCAGTGAGTTGTACCCTGCATATGCTCTGCACGTCTGAAGCTGATAGATGGACTTTGCTAATGGGATGGCACACTACACTGATCTTTATGGATGAATGAAGCTGCCCTTTATTCAGTGAGAGCAGCAACAGTAACTGGTATTCACAAAGAGCCCATTGAGTGCATTTTATGGCCACCATGTCTGTGCTAATCAATACTTTGTCTGAATAACAGTTCAATTTACCCATAGGGCAAAATGGCAACAACTAGTCAAGAAGAACGGCGAGCTGCATCAAATAAAGAGGTGCTCAACATTTGACTTAATGAGCTCAGAGTATACAAGTATATTAGTCATCCATACTTTCTGTTGAAACCCCATATCTTAGAAGTTGAGAGTCTTAGTAGTACTAGTGGGTATAGTTTTAACCAACTTTGAAACTTTTTAGGAGGGGCTTTAGACCAGAGCACAAATGAACCATATGTATATACATCACGTATGCCTGGATTGACAGCAGTAAGCACCATCAGTACACATCGTACTTCTGTCTTTTCCTGAAAAGGACTCTATTGAAGAATTCGGTGGCAGCAGACTATACTACAGGAGCCCCCTGTGACCCTGGGGCTCATAGAGTCATATGGGCTGCTGGTTGTGCTGGAGAACTACTTTACCTCTACAGCATATAAGCCCATATGCAATAAGAGCGTTGTGAAAAAGAGTGTATACCTGGGCAGGCACACATATTGATGAGTATTTATCAACACCCATTAACTGGCACAGAACATTCTTGAGATTCTCACATCTCACGATTAACTCAAATAACTTCCAATTCCAGCTACTCCTGGCTGACACTGAACTCAGCTGAAAGTGTATTTATACCCAAGAACAAAAAATAATATACTACAGCTTTCCTTTCCTTAGATTTGGTGGTTGCATTCATTTTTTTAATTTTTTTCCCCTTTAATTTCACCTGGCGATCCTATCGGCATCACACTTTCTGTCCTTGGGTAGCAGCACTCATTTACTGTGGCGTATTTAGCGACATTGTCACCAGTATCACATTTCGTGTCCTTGGGTGACAGCACTCACTGTGGTGTATCCAGCGACGTTGTCACCCTAGGCCAGGAAGTGTGTAGGACTGCAGAATACATCCCCATCTCCACAACAAATAAGGAATGTGTTCTGTAGTTCTGTAGAACAGGGGACAATGCTATGTGAGAACAGTCAAAACAAACAGTAAGCATAGGAAGGTATCAGCTCACAGTATTTCTGTGTGCAGGATCCATAGGTATTTGGTTTGAGCTTATTAAAAAGATATAACAAAATGTTTAAGGGTATATTTTACAGACCAAGAAGGAAGCAAACAAGAAAAGTTAATTGTTAGGGTTTATATCAGGGGTGGGTAATAATGTTTTTAAGGGGCCACATGAGAAACCAGGACTGTTGTGGAGTGCCTAACCAATAGTGTCTATTGGTTCAGCTCTCCACAGCGTCCCAGTTTCTCATATGATTAACACATGGTCCTGCACAATGCACATACCGGGCCCTACAGTATGGCAGGCGCGTTGCATTGCCTTTCATGTGAATGCAATTGACCGCGCAAAAACGCACCTCCCGCACTGGTAACGCAGTGTGGTACCGTGCGTTAAATGCACAGAACAATGCGATTAACACATGGACCTGGTGGGAGCGGGTCCTAATAGTAAATATGTTGTACATACCTTTTTTTTTATTTCTCACACGCCATTGCTGGGACGTAGAGGTGCAGGAGAGGATGGAGGAGGACAGGGTAAAGCTGGGGCAGGATGACTTTGCCACTGGTTGTTGGGACTGCCCAGTGGTACTAGCAACCAATGACTGCAGAGAGGAGGATCCCTAACGCCATTGGTTGCTAGGAAGCCAGCGGTCCTAGCAACCAAGGACTGTAGAGGAACTCGGTCTGGACACAGACTGATCGCCGACTTGTGCTGGGCTATGGCTTGCAGTGGATGTACTGGCCTTGATGGCCGGTGCAGCCATTGGCAGCCAGCCATAAATGAGCACAGGTCAGCGATCAGTCCATGTGCACACTGGGGCCAGATATAGACTGTGGGCTAGAGAATATCCAGGTCTGGTTTATACACTTTGGCACTACAGCTGTGTTGAAACTACAAATTCCATAGAGCACCATCCTCTGAAAGTCAAAGTCTTACAATGCCTTATAGGATTTGTAGTTTCACCACAGTTGGAGGGCCAAGGTTTGGTTACCCCTGATATACATGCTGAATACAATTACTAGGGTGATTCACACTGGAAGACAGATGAGAACATACAGGCATTACTCACTTATACATATCTGTAAAGCTGGTATTTTCTCTGAGCCCAATTTGTTTTTTCAAGTTGATATTATTCGGCAGATTTTGAGGATCATCCAGAAACTGTAAAATTACATATGAATAAGCAAAAGCGACTGACATGTTAAGTGTCTGTGAGTAAATCTAGCTTTGCTGTCTTTCATTTCCTTCACTTACCTTATAGATATCCCCATTCACCCAGTGCTTGCACATAAGCGTTTGTATGTTTCCTCCAACCAAGAAGGTGATGAACACGAAGAGGATTAGCAACCAGGAGAATATGAAGGTCAAATACATCTGACTGCAGGAGATAAATGCATTGGATTGGTCAGGACACACTATTCTGTGCTATCAATACTGCTAAGACATTAGTGAACCCTGTGCTTCCAAAATTTTGGTTGGCTGTGTTGTGTACCATTGCCATAACATCTCTCATTCTTGTCATTCACAATTCAAAAGTTTTTAAAGTAGGTCTTTGAGGGAAGGCCACATAGACCACCCTAGTGACATTGTAGCAGCCGGAATGTTTGAGCTGTATTTACTAATGGTGGGTCTTCAGTCCCTGCACAGTCTTCTTTCTCTTGCCCCGGCTCCCATTCTTTGCCATACAAACCCACCCACTGACAGGGCCAGCATCCAATCAAGACACTGCTTTTTACACCGATGGCAATCAAAGCCCAGAAAGGTAGACATTTCTAGGTCATGGTTTTATATCACTATGACATTAGCGTTGGCACGTTCTACCACAGAGAATATGATGACTACAGTGATGGCTGATAAGGCACTAGAGCAGTGGTGGTTAAAGGAGAACTATGAGGTGAGTGCTTTTCACTCACCTCATAGTTCTAGCCGACCTGTGACAATGACATTGTCATCGGGAGGTGAGCGAACACATACCGGCGTTCGCCCACCTCTCGATCCTGTCACGGCTCTCTGCCGTGACAGGGGAAGTGCTGGATTCCCCCCTCCCCACTCCGATCCTCCAGCGCTGACTGGCGGAACGGATGGGGGAGGGGGCGGGTACAGCTGGCTCTGCCTCTAGATAGGCAGAGCCAGCTGTCAGCCACGCAGCTGGGCGGATCCCGGCACAATTGTCGGGAATCCGCTTCAGCTGCGGAGTCTCAGTATACCGCGAGCTACAGCTCGCGGTATACTGAGCCTAGGGTGACGGGAGGACGCTAGTTTGTGTCCTCCAGTTACCCTAAGGAGAACTATGGGGAAAAGCCTTAACACCATAGTTCTCCTTTAACTAAGCAAATAAAGGGGGTCTCAAGTGCAACCAGTGGCGGAACTACTTGTGTTTGTGGGTTTATGGGGGGGGGGGGCAAAAAAAATCTTGCACCATGGCCCTTTGTTCCTTAGCTCCGCTACTGAGTGCAACCCCTGACATGTCCAGAGGGCTGCATATTAGCTTATGGCCCGTTCACACTGATACATTGCAGTAATCCACTGTAAAACGTGCGTTTGTTATTTCTAGTACATTGCCATGCACTCATGAGATATATTATGTGTAAAATGCTTATGTAACTAACAAGATGCTTACAAAGTCAAAGCCAATGTCATCCTATTTCTGGGCTATGCCCACATATGAAAGGATTATTTAGGTCTAGGGTATCAGGTAAAGCAGTTTTACCACTCATTTGTCTCCCCTATGCTCTGCCTTGTGGACTATTCATCTGCGTCCTCAAGTATAGTGTAGGGCTTCGGGCCCTGCACTAGATGTGATGATACCAGTGGTCGTCTGACAGCTGGAGAGTAGGGAAGAAGAGGCTGGTCTTAGAGCCATCTGTGGGATCAGATAAGTAAAAGTCCTTTTCTCAAGTACCACAGACTCAAGAGCATTTAAAGCCCATCTCAAAAGAAAGAACTTAGCCTTGCAGTGGGGCTGCCCCGCACTGCAAGGGTTAAGCACTAATTTTCTCTGGGGGACTCAAATGAGGCATTGCAACTTACCTGAACCTGGCTCCCTTGGCAGTGCTTATTTATTCTCCCCCTCCACTCCAGATGTTGGAATGTTTCTCAGCATGTTTAATGCAGGTCAATGGACCTGCAGAAGACATGGTGACGCCAGTGGCCCTTAGACCACCGGAGTGGAAAGAGGAGACCTTGCAGTGCGGGGGTAGTCTCACTAAAAAGGTAAGGTTTTTGTTTGCACTGAGATGAGCTTTACCCTTGCTGTGAAGGGGCAACCCCACTGCAAAGGGAGTTTCTTTCCTAGAGATAGGCTTTAATTTATTAAACATGTTTAATTTTTTTTTGCTTTTGCTTTTCATAGGAGGTCTGCATTTGGTCAGTGGAGATACGATTCAGCCCCTCACAGAGCTCTGTTGCACTATATCAATAATGTATTGCTAGAGAACAGGCAGGAAAGAACTACATCAACTCTTCCTGAGCCTTGGAAATGAGGGCAGTAATAGTGCAAAGCTATAACATGTAACCTCACATCACTTTCTCTGTAGACACAATGCGTAGGACATTTATGGTCCACGAGTCGTGGAGCCTAAAAAGAAACCGCTACCCTTTTAACAGTAAAATTTAGATGGGATGACAACCATAAAGAACCATTATAAATATTCTGAATTCAATGAATTTAGGCAATGAACATCCCCTGCCACACCACTAGTTATGTGGACCATTAAGAATTGATATGCCAAAAATGATTGGTTAAACCCAGAATAGTTTTTTTTTTAACATATTATATTGGATTTTTAAAATAGCAAACAAGTTAATTAAAGAAGAACTCCAGGAAAATCACAACTTACAATAGCAGTGGGGCTACCCCCACGTTGCAAGGGTCAAGGGCTTTTAATTGTCTAGGAGAGCAGATTTACTTTTCTTTTTCCTTGGTCACACAGGCTCCCTCCAGGCTTCAGTGGTCTAAGATCCACTGACGTCATCACGTCTAATGCAGGTCCATTGATCTTCATTAGATGTGAGGACGCCAAGGGACATTGCATAGCTGGAGCGGAGGGGAAGAGAGTGCCAACCACCGTGGAACTGAAGGTCAGGTGAGTAAAAAAGCTTTATTTGAGCTCCCTGGACAAAATGAGCACTTAACCCTGCGCGTTGCCCCACCGCAAGGGTACGTTTTTGGTTTTCCTTTAAGAGATGTGTGGCATTGTGAGGCAATACCACGGTGTTAGGTGGCCTCAAAGTCACCCAGGGTTCTCAGCCAGAGGGGCTGAGTGGCTCCAGGAAGACATTACTGGTACCAGGAGAGAACTGCCTTTTCAGTTCTTTCTGTGTTTTCTGGATCATGGTTGGGATCCTGGAGCCAGGAGATTTCTTAGAGCTCTGGGTGGGAAGAAATCTCCATTCCTGGGTCCATGCTTTGGTGGTGACCAGCACCTGATTGTACCTGATTGCACCTGTGTACATCCCTCATGAAGAGTGTGCTGGGATGTGTTCAGGCCCCCCCACCTGTGAGTCAGGAGAGCTCCACCCTGGAGTCAGTGGAGGCCAGTGCAGCAGGGAGCTGCGGGGTTTGCGAACCATATTGAGAGGATTGGCATGTTATTGCTGTTGTCTGGAGGAACCAGACAGTGGCCCTAAAGATTGAGGCCGGAGCAGCAGTGCTGCAAGAGAGACAGATGTCGGTGAGCCCTTATCTGTTATATGCTACTGCGAGCTATTTATGTTGGATTTCATGTTATCTACCGTTTTGAAAGCAAATAAACTGCATCTGACTTGCACCTCCGGTCTACAGTGGAGTGTCCTTGTTACAGATGTGATAAAGATATTAGTGTATAAGAACACTTATGGCACTTGAATAGAACCTTTTCATAGATATTTATATATATATTGGACCAAAAGTAGGCGGAAAGAGGGACATTTGGAGAGGGACAGTTGGGAGGTATGACATTGAATGTCTCTCTTTTAGTTTGTGTTTCCTTCCTCAATGTTACTTTCCACCACTGCCTGCTGCAGATCACTTTGATTTTTCCTAGATTGTCAGAACAATTTCCAATAATCCGACTGCTTATACTTAGTTCCCTGATTGACTGAATTTCGTGATTACCGTGAGAGAATTGTGTTTTTTCATTTTAGCAACAGTATCTAATTAAAGAGTTCACACACATTACAAGGAAGCCAGCTCCATCCCTCCGTCTCCGCAGACTGCTCTCCGGATCTTGCAGTAGGTAGAGGCCCCAGAGACCAAAGATCAGCCCCAGTGCTGTGCAGGCAGATATCAGGAGAAGGACACAACATAGAACAACTCCGATTATCCACCTGTTAGGAAAGAGATAATGGATGCAACTTTGTTTAGGGAGTGGTGAGTAGGTGTGCAGAAGAGTTATATTAATAACAATGGAAACAATTATAGGGAGATCTAGACCACAGCTTTCATGGGAGTGGTAAGGTTTTGCAATGGCATTATACAAAACTATTGCTAGTGTAGCACCTGTAGGCAGGAGTGCTATTAAATTTAGTTATTGTCAGATTGTATGCACTCTGATGCTAATTTGTAGTCTGTGTTCATCTGTTTTCCCCTGATCAATCTGTCATCGTTTGCATGTGTCTGCTGCTGGGTGTACCTTGGCCACAGAGCAGAGCAACCAATGAGATATTGCTATGAGTAGGTATCCCTCTCCAGCCAGTCACTGTGAGGTTAATGGCCAGTGGTGCATGCCGGGAGAGGAGATAAATACTTGGGGTGGACCTTTGTGAGCTCTCTATTCCTCTTCCGGGCCCTGCCTGGGGGGAGTCTTATATGGACTGTCTGATTTGGCTAGGCCTGAAGCCTGAGGGCCAGGCATGTGCTTACACTGAGGTCTGGATCTGGAGGTCCAGTGACTACTACTGATACTAAGGATGAACATGACTGATGACTTCTGATCTAAGTACTACTTTACCATTTGTTCTTTACACAGATTGCTGTTTCTGGCTTAAGGCGCTGAACTGCCAACAGTAAAAAGCACATTTATTCCGATGGGGCCCGTTAACGCAAACGCCGCCCAAACTGCTCACTGAGCCTCTTTTTCAGCGCTGATCAGCACATATAGATTTCAATGGAAACGTGCTGATCAGTGCATTTTTTGGTGTTTTTAATTGCTTTTCAGCACTGAAACACGATTAAATACACCCAAAAACTCCCATTCAAAAATTGTGCAGAAACCACGCTGAACCGCTATCGCCTTGGTGTGAATGGGGCCTAAAGTTCCTAGTCTGTGAATGGCAGCAGACTGTGCTCTACTGATGAAGGAGTTTACATCAGCCTGGATAGTCCTGGCCCTAACCCTCTCTCCCTGAAGTTCAGCAACAAAATCTCTCAGCATTTATCTCCATTCTTCTCCCATGTCTTCTTTTCTTCCTCTTCTCCCCATGCTTTTATTGAATATAGTGTTTTTACGGTACTTTTTGACGCTTTCAATTACTCCATGTGTTAATTGCATTAGGCGGCTATGGATTTTGTCATCAGAGTAACGTGTTCAAGATATTACTGAACCCATATTGTATGTATAGATTACATATTTACTTGGACTCTACGGCTGTACACCACTGTTTGACGTCTGCTAATCTTTTAAGTCATTGTATATTTTATGCAAAACAATAAAGATATACATCCTTAAAAAAAACTAAAACCTAGAACCTGTGTGGTCACTCTTCTTCATCACCATGTCTAAGCTATTGAGAAAAAAAGCTTTGATTCTCGGCAATAGTTGCATTGCCTCTTTTACTTTATGTAAGCCTTTCTGATGCATTTTGTAGTAAAAAAAATGTTTCAGACTGTCATGTACCGGACCTTATAATCAGTGGCGGACTGAATAACCAAAGGCCCTGGTGCAAGATTTTATCTTGGGCCCCCCTCACAAGACAGGGGTGGGGGGGCGCGGGAGCAGATCAAACTGGCCCCCGCCCCCCCAGCAGTCTCTAATGTTGCAGTAGCGTGCTGGACTTACCTGAGACCCTGCAGAGCACACCATAGATCCTGCATAGCCCACCTGAAACTCTCTATGGTGGGCTCTGCAGGGTCCCAGGTGGGCTGGTCTGGTCGTCGGGATCTATTTCCCTGTACCTCCTTCCAACTCTTCTTACCTGCTGCTGCTGGGACCCAGCCTCCTCTACCCCCTTCCCTGCCACCTCTGCTATGCCGCCCCCGTACAGTTGATACCCATGTAAGAGGCCCCCCAACCCCCTCACATGGGTACCGGCCATACCCCCCTGATGGCGGTGTTCTATCAAAGGTTGTGATTACCTTAGAATGTGTGACCGGTGACGTGGTCACACATTTTAACGTAATCTCGCCCAGTTTTTCGGCGGTGGAATAGGTGAAGCATTCCAGCGCTTGCCCAGCTGTTCCAGGGCACATCCGCATCGCAAATCGCATGTGCAGGAGAACCGATCTGCCCTGAAACAGCTGATCGGTCCTGAAATCTCACTTCTCTCCGGATGTGATCTCACATTTCAACGCACTCACAAAGTCGGATAGAAGTGACATTTCAGGACCGATCAGCTGTTCCAGGGCAGATCGGTTTGGTCTAAGGTTTAGTAGAACATAATAGGTACAAAAGTCTATTAAACTATTCTTAGATGTGATATGTGTACTGGTATGGGGTCACCACAGGCATTAGTCCTCCATTGTGGTCTGTAATGCAAATTTCAGGTTGCTTCATGCATGGCAGTATAAGGTTTTAATGGAGATGTGCACTTCATTCAGTGCACTTATCCAGGGGGTTTCTGTAGAGATGAGTAACCTGACAGAATACTGGCAAAATCAGGGGGCATCTTACAGGTCCTAGGATGTTACCAATGGTATGGAAACCCAAATAAAGTTTGTAAGCTTTCTTTGGAAAGAGAGTGATGTAAATGTAACCTTGTATCTGGTATGCATTAAAGAATCAGTCCATGCAAAACTGATATTTTAGTTACACTTGCAGCCTGGTGGAAGCTAGTCCCTGGCTTTTTCTGTGCCTTGGAAGCTCCAACATTTCAGACAGATTGTGGTATGGCTCAATGATACCCTGATTTTGACTCAGATATGGTTGGGAGGTATGTAATGAGGAAAGTGTTAAGCTGCCCACATGTGAGCTGAGCCTTGCCCAATGGGGACTGTGCAGATGCCAATGGCTGAAAGCAACTCGTGAATAGCAATTAGACGTTATAAAACTTTGAACATTACTACTGTTTCCCTGGTGTAAACAAACATGATCCATAGACATGGTCAGATTGTGCCTGCACATCCAACCAGTCTCTGTTGGATATTGGCAGTATTTAGGGGTGAATTCCAGTACTGTGCATAAAGTGTAAACCTACCATCTGCATTTTTTTCCTTTAAAAAAGTTCAGATTCCCATTTAGCAACCATGCTAGTGGTGCAAATCTCAGTCCCCTTTTGTTAGTATCTTTGCTAAGAGGCACAGAATTGCATCAAGAACTTCATTATGAACATAGGTGTGAATTGAGGATTTGTATACGCTTTAAAAGAACGCACAACTGCAGTGAAAACCAGGACCCTCTAATACATAATATAAAGGAATGAAGTTTAGGGCTGGATACCCAAAGTTGTAGTGACCATAGTGGTGATGATTAGGCATGAATCGAACATTAGTTACCTTTTGAAAGATACCAGGCAGGTTTATCTTCTTTAAATTATTTAGTTTGCTTGAAAGTTCACCTAGTGAGGGAATCTGTAAGACAATATGATATATTCATTTAAAAAGTCAATAAATCACGTTTTGTTTTTTTTACCTAATTTTACTAATTTAAGACATTGTCTTTCCAATTTCCTATATTTTTCCTCTTTGCCCTTACAATTCTATCACCATGTCATATATTTCCTTGTAAATGTTATCCATGTCCTCTCTGCCCACCAGTAATATTGAATTTACTTCTGGCCTTTCTTGTTTTTCATTGTTATGTCCATCATAGTTACACCAGTATAATGGGAACCTACCTGGGTTTGCCCGAGTTGAATATTTCGGACAATGTTGGAGGGCTCTGCACAGTTCTCACAGTTTCGGTCTGATAACACTCTCAGTAGATCCTCTTGGAGGCGAACAAGCTGAGTGTCGAGGCTCTTCTGTCTTGTCTTCATGTCCGTCAGAGTCTTGTTAACATTGAGCAAAATCTGTGCAGCAGCTTCCAAGTCTGTGTATGATATAAAACAACAGGCCCGTGAGTAAATGTTATAGCCTGTTCATTATTAAAGGTCTCCTAAATAGTGTTTATACAAAGATAATTCTGATTTGATGATAGGAAATGGCAAATGTTGGATATTCTTCAGGCTTGCTGTGCCACATTTTTTAACAATTTGTTTGCAAAAAAAAGTGCCATTTCCCTTTCCTCCCCTTCCCCACACACGTCAGAGATTATAACATGGTATCATCTATACTAGTCTGCTATTTTAATGAGAAAGCAGCCCCCCAAAAAAGCCTTGGCCTTTTTGTATTTTTTTTTTTTTTTAGTTTTAGAGTAGAGAAATGTTGGCTTTAGACATTCAGCCTACAACCATGATGGGAAGTTGCATTAACATTGTAGCATTATGTGAACTTTGCTTCCTAACCTTTGCCATAGTAAACTGGAAGAGGGATTCTTCGGTCTTACCTGCTCAATAAGTTGTAAATGTAATTTGTAATGAAAAAAATCATAACCAATTTTAAAAAATACCCTTTTCTTTTTTATAACATTATTACAAGCTGATAAATTACTTTTTTTACATTCTGCATCAGGTATCTTCCTGAGGAATGGAATAAAAACCATTCAGGGTAAAAGCAGTGGGAGCAAACTTTCACACCTCCTTTGCCCACTGTTTACAGCTGTGGTCTTTCAAGATTTGATCTGTTACATTTCCTATGAAGTGAGGAATTCTGGAAAATTTCCATTCTATAATTCATTGGAAGCACTGTTACGCTTGTCAGCATCTAACTATAAGAAAACCAACCCATATGCCTGAAGGGCAATAGGGCTTTCTCAAACAAGGGGCAGCCACGTGGTTTTAAAATGAACTTGAACTCAAAAAGTGAAGATTTCCTTTTTTTGGGAAACATCTGGAAATATTAATTGTGCCTAAGTAGCACTCTGCAAGATTTACCTTTTTATGCCTAGGCATTCAATTGCCTTGAGCCATATAGCTATATATTCACAATGTAAGATAATCAAAAGCATTGCTATGTCTTATTGCTAGTCTCATGTGGTTTGGAGAAAGATTTGGTAATGTCACTGCTGTGCCGCTCCCTGTTCTCATAGCTGGAGAGAAAGCTCTACTTGTAGGCCTGCAGTGCAAAGATCTCCCTGCTTCTGGCTCATTCATTCTGTGGATCTGTGATTTCTGCTCCTCCTCCTACTGGTTCTTGAATATTCCCCCACCCATCAGTGCGGCAGCGGCAGCTCTGACATGCAGAAGTTAAACCCTGCCTACCAAGATGGCTCCCTATAAACAATGATGCTGGTAGGTCATTCAGGTGAAAAAGATCAGCTGCAGCTAGCCAGTTCTGGCGACTAGAATTTGCTCTCTGTGCTTGCCTATTTTAGGCCCAGCTTCAAATGTTCAGGTCCTCTTTAAGAAATCATTTTATAAATAAAGTTAAAAAAATAGTTTATTGGTGGATCCAAACCAGCATGAAAGGAGAACCATTGATGAACTTCCGGAGAAATGAGTTTAAAATATTTTGCTAATTTCTAAAAAATAAATGCTCCAGTTTGGTACATACCTTTTCCTGTCTGCAGCGCATGTTCTAGAAGCGGTCGGATCTCATTATTGATCTTAGCATTCACAGTGCTATTGATGGCGGGACGAAAGCCTATGAACACAAAAGACAAAACAATCTAATCATTCTCCACAAATTGCGCTTCTGATCTATCCCAGGATAAGTCTGCCACTGGCTGGCGGTTTTAAAGGAGAAGAACGCAGATCATTGTGTGTGATCTCAGTTCCAAACGGCTAATTGCTGTATTGGTCCTAGAGATAAGCTGAGCTCTTGCAGCCGGTGATTCCTTTTATTGGGACAACATACTTGTTCTTTACAGACGAAGCACGCAGCTGTTAGAAGCTTGTACAATTCCTCTTCAAGGGGGTGATTTCAAGTGCTTGCTTCAAATGAACACTTGAACAAGAAACCTGGAAGGATGGAAGACAGCCACACTTCATGTGAAATGAGTTTGCTGCAGATATGAAATGATTCACTAGCAACATTCAGCTTGAGAAGTGAGTGTCATGGCATGATTCATTGTATTTGCCAGATATGAAAACCAAGAGAACAGTGCATGCATAATATATGCTGGATATACTAGAGAAAACATAAATTAGAACTGGATTATAGGCCATTGAGGTGTTCAGTGGCCACAGAAAGAGATTAGGAAGGAAGCCAAGTGCTTTAGTAGTGATCACACTGTAAATATTGAAATATACTTTAAATACCCTTGTAATAGACAAATATCTTATAGTACATAAAGTAAGGGATCTGTATGCTATCCCTAGCCTGTAAAGTCAGAGAGTGACCAAATAAAACCATTTAAAACTTTTACCTGCCAATATGTAGCTGGTATCCGGTTCACTCAAACGCCGCGTACTACCCTCTTCTGCCACTACATCATGCTCAATGACAGCACAACATGTGCAAAGCAAAACATAACGAGCCCATGCACATCTTTGCATAGTGAAATGCTTGATAAAACACAGATTTTACTGTGTTTTACCTCTACACACAAATTGTGGTGTTCTGCAACACCATTCTTTTTGAATGCAGGCCCAACACACTATTACTATAACGGGCAATGCATTTCCACTGCAGTGCACCAGCACACGCATGTTGTGCATTGTGATGTGCTGCTTTAAGAAAAGAGGGTCAGGTGTGCTTTTTTGGTGTATCAAGGTCCACTGCCAGCACTGTTCAAAATGAATGCACAAAAACTCTATGCTGTAACATTTTAACACTACACATAGCCTGAATTGGTCCCAACACTTATTTTCATGGAAAATTAGCTATTTTACTTGGTTAATCCTACAGAAAAGATTGTCATTTTTTTAAAGTTATAGGCCAAGATAGTTTATTTCTTAAAGCTGAACTCCAAGAAAACAGCTAAATACACAGTTGGGCTGTTTTACCAGCTAAAGGATTTGTATTCCTCTAGCCCTGCCAGGCAGCAGAGCTATGTTGGTGATCTGACTTTTCCCTTCTGCAGTTATTCCATAAAGCCTGATCACTTCAATGCCCCAGCCTATGATGATATATTATTTCAAGTGATCTCGGCGACATCGCCTTCCACGCTTCCCTGCTGTACATTTAGCTCTGCTTGCCCAAAGCAGGGCTAAATGTAGAAAACAACTACTCGCCAGGGGCCCGGAACTGCATGTCCCGGGCATCAGGAGATAGGAACTCCACACCCCTGCTACCCCTCTACTCCCTGCTGCCCCAAGGCCGAGCCTTGGTTGACCTTGTGGGAAATCCAGCCCTGGATATAGTGAAGGAGAGCAGAATGCTGATGAGGTCATCTCTCTGCTCTCTCCTTTTGTCAACATGTTCCTTTGTCAGCAGATGTTTGCTAGTGCTACAGAAATTTGGTGTGTTGCTCAGGAAGGTGAAGCTGCATTGTCTACCACAGCCAAGATTCTCTATTCACACGACATCGGTCTGACTTAAAGGTCCTTCACCTTTAAAGACTGTAAGATTCCCCTGGAGTCTGCCGTGCCTTTAGCAATGTTAAGCCTCTCTTCATAGAGTTCATGGTGGCAAATAAACTCTTCAAATTGTTGAAAAGTGATTGGCGGCCATCTGTTTACAACCCCACTAAAAGTCAAGGGTTTTACTCTGAGGAAACATGTCAGTTCACCTAACTTCTGGGGGGTCCCTAATAACATCTAGGGGGTATGGCCCTGTTACATATTAAATACACATTAATTGGTTATGTTTTATAGTTACATGGAGTTCAGCTTCTAAGAAGCTTTACTTAACAATGAATGGTTTATACGGCAGATCAGTGAAATCTGTTGGTTGGTTGGTATGGTTTACTGCACTTTAACATCTGTTTTGTATTCCTGTGTGTGACCCCTCTTCCTGACCTAGATGAGTAGGTCTAAACCAGAAAAGCTAATTTCCTTGATGCATTGTTTTTTTTTTCTTGTTCTGCTTTAATAAGAGCAATGCCACTGTGATGTAATGGAAGAGATAGACACAGACAAAAGGGGGCAGCGTAATGTAGATATTTTCAAATGATTAATTCCTCTCTCAAAGCAGGAAAAGTACTAATTGGTGCTAATTGGTTAAATTAGGTGATATATCAACCTCCTTACTTTAAAAGTGATAGGTAACAATTGTCAGCAGGTTGTATTCAGTGATACCACCTTAATATGTCTGACCTTCTTTTATGAAGGAGTTTCCCACTTTATACAATACACGGACCCTCGTGTCCTAAACCTGTAATAGTAAAAAGTCTCTGCTGTTGCCAGGACCTCATTACTCTGATTCTGCCAGCTGCACATGAAAGAGTTTATGAGCATCAGTTGATGTGTAGATATGAGTGAATTCAACGCCTTTCTCTCCATGTGTAAACAACTGCTCCACCCAAATTGGGGGTTCTTAACAATTCTTGCACCCTGCAAATTAAAAAATATGATATGTTCTCTATCATGTTCTATTTTGGGCCAAATCATTTAGGGGGACCATTACAATCTCAAATTGACACTTTGCGGCCTAAAAAATAACGCAGCAAAGTTCTGTCCATGATACTAATTTTTATTTGCACTAACAGTTACATTTTTAAGACAAGCTTTCGGGGGTCTACCCCTCTCTCATGAATTCCATGCAATACTAATACACAAAGGTTAAGCAAAATGTTAATACAAAATCTGCATAAAGTCTTAACATTTTGCTAAATCTTTGTATATCAGTGCTGTCCGGACCAAGAAGAATGCAAATAGTGCAAAAGAAAAAGTATTACGGACAGTACTCATCTGTTTGGTGCACCAATATGGCTAAAATCACCTTAAGCATGTCACAAGCAAAATAAGATATGGCCCAAGTAAGTAGATATTGATATGTATGTGAAGGTTCTCATTTATCCAGATCATGATACACAGAAGTTAGGAGTAGTTAGTCACATTCAACTGGAATTGTTTTGTAACGTTGAAGACACTTTACCACCCATCTAAGGGGATTCCTCAGTTCCCAACATCCATTTGAACGGAGGAAGCCAATTAAATAAATGATGGAACATCTTAAACATTACAAAATACATATTTACATAATTTCCTGTTTCCCAAGTAAGTAGATATTGATATGTCTGTGAAGGTTCTCATTTATTCAGATCATGATACACAGAAGTTAGGAGTAGTTAGTCACATTCAACTGGAATTGTTTTGCAATGTTGAAGACATTTTACCACCCATCTAATGGGATTCCCCAGTTCCCAACACCCATTTGAACTGAGGAAGCCAATTAAATAAATGATGGAACATCTTAAACATTACAAAATACATATTTACATAATTTTCTGTTTCCATAGCAGTAGTGCCTTAGCAAAACCACGTATTAGCTTCTATGATAACTAGTTAACTGTAATAGCATTGTACTTACTCTCTAAGTCAGCATAAACTCTTTTTTTAGGAACTTCAAATTCAGTAACCACCTTCGTAATGGCCTGCAAGAAATATTTGTGAAGAAATGTATTATGATTAAATGTAAAGCACATTTAAGGAACTGCACACACTTTAAGAGACTCCCTGGGGGGAAAGAGGGCTGCAATTTTAAAGTGCAGGAATCTGTACGTAGATAGGTGGACATGATTGGGTGTGGACATTGGGGTGAAACCTGCAATGGAGAGTGAGGGGAGAGCAGACAGAGAACATAGTGTAGACAGGAGCGGGGGAGCTACCAGAGTATATAGTGTGGATGGTGAGGAAAGGGCTGCCAGAGAATATAGTGTAATTGGCGAGGAAAGGGCTGCCAGAGAATATAGTGTAATTGGTGAATAAAGGGCTACCAGAGAATATAGTGTAATTGGTGAATAAAGGGCTGCCAGAGAATATAGTGTAATTGGCGAGGAAAGGGCTGCCAGAGAATATAGTGTAATTGGTGAATAAAGGGCTACCAGAGAATATAGTGTGGGTTGTGAGGAAAAGAGCTGCCAGAGAATGTAGTGAGGATGGTAGGGACAGGGTTGCCAGAGAATGTAGTGTGGATGGCAGGGACGAGGTTCCCAGAGAATGTAGTGTGGATGGTGAGTATGGATGGTGAGGGACAAGCTTTCAGTGAATTTAGTGTTGATGGGGAGCTTCTATCTGAAAACAGCGTGCAAAGGAGGGGGGCCTTAAGGAAAGCTACTGCAGAAAGTGTGGTGACAACAGTGAGAGAAGGTAGTGCAAGAACAGGGAAAAGAGGTGCAACACAGGGGTTTCATGCCATGCACACTGTGTAATGAGGATGTAGATGCTAGTGATAAGGAATATCTCAACCATGGCATAGACACAATTAAGCACACAATGTGTGTGTGTGTTGGACTTCTCGAAATTCTCGAAAATAAACCATTATTCCTTGTTCGATGGTTTACTCAGTGCTTCATCTCTCGTGCTGTACTGCAGTACCGCCAGTACTGCAGTTTAAGACATTTATACCCCAAGCAGTCACGATGATCCTTAGGCTTTGCTGAAGGGTCTTATTAAAACAAAGATATAAAAGGACAAGCAAAAATATGATGTTGTGACCTCCAGTAAAGCCTCAGGATCAATGTGACCCAGGGGCTTGCTTCGCATTAGTCGTGACCCCTGTCATGCTTCAATGTGGCAATGACCTCCCTGTCTCTATAATTCTTTCTGTGCTATTCCAGTTATTCCCTCACTCTGATTTTCTTACTGTCCACCCAGGAGAATTGCTCTGTCTTCCTTAATCACCAGTGGAGCGTATGAGGCCAGATTTGAAATCTGCACATCAATGTCCCCGCTTACACCACTTCTTATCCTGTGATGCCAATGTAATGTGCTGTATCTCTTATCCCCATGAAATAAAAATTTCTGCTATTTTTTTTGTGGTGGGAATGAAATGCATGGCTAGCTCGGCTGCACACACAAACTACGCTAAAGTGCTTTTCTAATGCCAGGGCTTTGTTTCCTTGCAGCATTAATTATACATTGAAGCTGGGGCTGGCTTTCCATCTGACAACTGCATGTCAATCATGAATGTACTTTACAATCATCTCATTCTGTCCTCATCAGAGAAAAACGGATAAAGTTAGGGGCAGGAGGCAGCTGCAGTAAAAGAAAAGGCATGACTCCTCTCTGATCTCTGTGATGACATGCTTACAGCAAGGATCAATGAGCAATCAGTCCTAACAATATATATGGATGGCTCCAACCTGTACTTAGAATATGTTATGATTTCTGCAAAATTGAAGTTTTTACCTTTGGTTTAAAAGAGTAACATTCAGAGCCCTCTTTGGCTGCATATGTGCACTAACTCACAGGTCTATTCAGTAAAGGGTGAAGAGTTTGGAGAAGGCAGGATAAGTGAACATTTTAGACCAAAATAGCTGATTTGGAAAATTTCTCCAATTCAGTTCACTTTCTACTTCAGCTGTTCTAGATTGTTCACTTCTCCTGCCTTCTCCAAACTCTTCACCCTTTAGTAAATAGACCTGTCAGATACACTGCCACTTATAGAACTGTCCCTTTTACTGTCTTCAACAAATATTCATGTTATGTCATTAAGACTTGTTCATGTAGTCATGCTTTATGTCCCCCCCCCTTTTACTCACCTGTGGGATGCTGCTCACAGAGACTCTGAAATCTTGCAGGGTCTTTGAAAAGTCCTGAACTCCATAACCAATTTCATCGTGTGCCTTCTGGTTCATATAGAAAGTGCAGACCACCCCAGCACTAGCAATGAAGAAAAGTTAATAGAAAATGATTACCATGGTAGTTGACAAGGCTTACTGATAAATCCAGGTAAATATTATATATATTGCATATAAATATTTTATGGTCACACTTTTGCCACCAGCAGCTTGTGAGAAGGAAATTTTTGGTTTACTTCAAAGCTGAAACTAAAGACCTAATAGCAAGGTCTCAATATTTACACACACATAGCTAAAGGAGTCAGGAACAGAGAAAGTTCCACCTAGATCTTGCATTTACAGCACTCAACTAGGACAGAGCTAGTACTGCCCTTACTTATTAGACAGTTTAAAATACACTGAACAGACCATAGCATTGAAATAGCCGGCATTTAATGTTTATCTTTAAAAGGGTTTATGCAAATAAAAATATTAGTTTATAAACTCATGAAATTATTTGACCAAAAAACACTATTACCCTTAAGGTGAAGGCTGCAGGGCAGTAATTCTCATTCTGGTTTCTCTACCTAGTGAGTGGTTGATTTGGAACTAGGATGCAGAGCCAGAATTCAGACCTTTTAGCGTTCACTAATTACATGTTTATTCCAGGTCAATAACTTGCTAGGCAGTAAAGGGAAGATTAAGCTGTCAACTCCCAAACTTGCACCATGAAAATCCAAATCAGCAATGCAACCATATTTCTGTCCTTGCAAGTTCACTTCAAAAGCAGCTGTAAGAATTTAGGTCACAAGCAGGAATGGTTGGATTACAAGACATTCAGAAAGAATTAAAGTATATCTATAGCCAAAAACATTTTGGATAAAGTGGGGAAGGATTAGGACCTCTGTCAGGTTTTACTGCCGTTGAAGGATTTATTGGAGAGATTCCTTTACTTCCTGTATGGCAAGGACCGGATTAAGAACATCACGGGCCTGGTGCTTAGGATTTTGGTGGGACTTTTTATGAAAATGGCGACGGTCACCGGGGACCTCTTCCTCCTGTCCGGGTTATGATTTGTATTCTCTCTACAGCTTGGAGTCAGTGTTAGAGCGCCAGGGCCTGGTTGCAGCTACGACCTTGGATGATCTGCCACTGACTCCAAGGGACAACAAATCGCAGCAATACATTATACAGCAATGCAGAATACCGCCAGCTATAGGGTACTACACATCCCAGTAATATATTACATAAAAATGCAGAATACCACCAACTATAGGGGACTACAAATCCCAGAACTACTTTATACAGCAATGCAGAATAATAGGAAGCTACATATTCTGTACTACATACTACATGCTCTGGGTTCGTGGCCTGATTTCTCCGGGGTCTCAGGAGAGCTGTGCAGGGTTTTTTTTTTGGGGGTGGGGCGTGCAGGCTCTCAGGAGGCTGTTGAGGCTCTCGGGTGGCCAGTGCGGGCTCTCAGGGAGCCAGTGCGGCTCTCTGGTGGTCAGCGGTAAATTTAAAAAACATTAAGTACTTGGGCACATTTGTTAACTAGGAAGTGTATGGGGGAATGTTCGACCTGCAATATTTATTAAAAAACTTTAGAGTTTAATATTATTTTAAGGGCTCATTTAGACTGTTGAAGTCTGGTGCCCTGAATTAACACATGCGCCTTAATGCCACAAGTTATCGTGTGCTACTTTGAGGCAGTACATTTATTTTAGTGGTCTGGTAATGCACCAGACTGCACACAAAAAATCAGACGTACTATTTTCTGCAATGGCGCGCACCGCATGTGTGGTGGTGTGCTGCAGTGCAGGTGTGTTGAGGTGCTATTAAGTATGAATGTCACTGCATCACCTCAATGCATATGCACAATGCAATGCACTGCAACAGTATGAAGGGGCCCATAATCAGCCTGCATTTTCACACACTGTCCATATATCTCTGGACGTTAGGCAGTCCTGCTTAGATTGTAACTATGGGGGTGCAAAGGATGCAACTGCTGCATTTACCTTTCCATCACATGTCTATTTCTGATGTTTCAAGCGAAGGTCAAGACAAATCTTTTTGTCATCATCTGTAGCTATACTTACTCCCAATCAGTGTTACCCTTTATATTATTGCTCTGCAGACAACATTCATGAAATATTAGCCACTGCTACCGTAGTATCAATGTGGTCAGAACCAATTAACCTACAAGTATGTTTTGGCACCAGAACACCCCTGAAAAGCCCCACAATTGTGTACTTTGTTGCTGGATATGTAAGTTATAGGGGTGTGGTGTTGTGTCTTCTCTGGTGGTTCATACATATTTTTTACGGTTTGCAACAGAAAAGCGGACCACCTCTAGGAACCCAAAACATAGTGAGAACATGCAACCCCTTGCAGGTAGCATTCCTAGTGGGAAATGACCTCAGGACCCAGATTCTGCAAATTAAAGTGTTACCCAGTTTGCTATCTGGGCTAGCTACTTTTATACTTCTGCTATATCTAATTGTATGGGAGATGCAGCAGCTTGTATCCTTAATGGTATGCAACATAAACATATTGAGGTCTCTATATTTATATCTTGTGTCACTTTTGATGAACAGGATGTGTCAGCTACAGTAATTAAGGTTTATCCGAACGCAAGACATGTGCAATCGAAACACCACATGGTATGACAACACACAAAAATGCTTCATCAAATATAACTATTGTGCTTCTCTTTTTGTACATCATACATATTAACTTCACAAGATAATGGGCGCAAGTGAAACTCAATCAGGGGTTCTATTTCAATTTACAGGGCATGCCAATGGAGGATATGGCTTGTTTATCATAAACAGCTGCTATCCATATGTATCAAAGGTAGAAAGCATGTCTACATTATTTGTCGCTGTGTGGTTATTCATTAGTTTTGGAAAATAGCAGCACTATTAAGAACTATGAAGACAAATTACCCTGCTAAGGAGCAAGACAGGGGCATGGCAGCTGCTGGTTGATCAATGATCCTGATCATTCAGGAATAATTAAGCAATTTATAGGCATTTTATTAAAATGACAGAATAGATCAGGAGTGGTCAACTGTAGAATACCAGCACAACAATTTCTTTACAGCAGATAAGTGGTCATTTTTTGACCCGTCATTTCTGAGCCTGAGGAAGGGGACCCTCTGCGGCCCCGAAAACGCTTGTAAATGAGAGACCGTACACGTCAATAAATTACCACTTATCTGCTGTAAAGAAATTGGTGTGCTGGTGACATTCTGCAAAAATCTACATGTTGTCGACGCCATCCGCAGTCACTTCAAGCACCTACCTGCGTATCAGCATGGGAATCCCGGTACAGAGTGCAGCAAGGAACTTCTTCTCATTTTCTTTTCTGACTGATTTGCTGGAGTGCAATGAACAGGACCAGCACCCGTGCATTTTGCTGCAGAGACTATTACAAGCCATTCACCTCAAGCTATATACATATTTTTTTAAAGGTTATAACCCTTCCTAGTGTGGTCACCTTGCCCTAAGTGGGGTGAGTACTTAAAGTTAGCTTGGTTGGGTTGTACACAGTCTAAGCCAAATTGATAATTCTGTATTCATTTGGTCTCAATAGAGCAAGAAGATACAATGATGTTGAGTTATGAACAATTATATCCCACTGGCCAACTACTAGTGTTGCATGCTGGGAAAAGACATAAGTATTTAGGGCTGACCTTGTGAGTTATTTTACTCTCTGGGCTCCTGCCTGGGGTAGGATGTGTTGTGACCATAATCTAGCTAAGCCTGGTGCTAGGGAGGAGGCCTGTATTTGGGCCTGAAGCTGCCCTGCCTCTTTGCGAGTGGAGCTGACCCCAGATGGAGTTCTAGGGCCTGATCCTGCCTCTGGGTTTCCTCACATGTATTTGGAAGTCAGCAGAGTACTACACTCTATCCAAAAATAAAAAAAATGGCTTTAGATACAGTTTAATGTGGTTAAATGAAAACAGTTTCCTGAGGGGATGTAATCACACCATCATTTGGTCTCAATCCATCTGAAGCACAGTCTGTATTTTTAATTTCAAGACTGTGCTGCTGAATATGAAAGGATGTGAACTAGGGATGCACTGATACCAGTTTAGATAACACTGCCGATACTTGGCATTTTCATGAGAACTACCAGGGCTGCAGCGGTTGGAGCTGGGACCTGGTTCTGGCGCTCCACCACTGTCCTAAAATCATTAGTCAATATTGTTTTAGAAAAAAATGTCACATGACAATAAACAAAAATGTATCAGTACTTGTATCTGTGAGTACTCGGGTAAGTATCAGTACTTGTACTTGCAAAAATGGTATTGGTGCATCCCTTTATATATGTTTATTTAAAAAAATTATACATTAAAACAGAGATGTACAAATCCCAGGAGCTCCGTGTGCTCCTTACAAATGACAGCAGCCGCCTAACTTTTTGAATTTTTGTCTAGTCTAGTCTTGGAGCTCGAAAAGTATCTGTACTTGTACTTGTAGCAAGTACGGTACTTGGTATCGGTGCATCCCTAATGTGAACCTAAGTACTCTCTTTTTTCTAAGATACGAGGAAATCTTGATCTATAGACATTTTTGCAACACTGGAAATGAACATTTCCCCAATGGGGGCACGGCTGTAAAATGTTAACAGCGGTTTGAACCTTTCCTATACTCTATCCAAATACTTTATGGCTGCATTTGGACTTTAATCCCCTTTCATACATACATCAGAATTTCATCTCTGTACCCTCTTAGATTCTAAGCGCTTGCAAACAGCACTTTCATTTCACTTGTTTATATATCTAACAACACCCAAGTATGCTTGTTTGAATGCTAATGTGTTCTGAGTCATGCAATGCATTAGACTTTTTGTCAACAAGGCAAAGGGCAGTCCCTTACATTAAATTGACGGTGGGATAAAGGTTAGGACAAAGCTATATTAAAGTGACACTAAACTCAGGAGTTAAATCTTATATTACATTAAATAAGTTAACAGTTAAATCTTATAAATACATTCAAGTACCGTAACTATTAACAAAAATGTATCTTATTTGTGTATCACTCGGCTGTAGATCCTCCAATCATCACTGAATTGGTGCCGACACTGTCCTTCCTTCTGGAGGGTGGCTTCTTTTCTTCCCCATGGTCCCTCTGTGTGTTGTAAAGTAGTCACCGCTCCAAGCTCACTCCTATGATAGACTACGTCACATTTTGTTTACTAATTTGTACTGAGATTGTAGTCTATCAAAGGAGCGAGCTTGGAGCAGTAAATACTTTATAACACACACAGGGACCATGGGGAACAAAAGTAGTCAATCTCCAGAAGGAAAGACAGTGTCAGCACCAATTCAGAGATGATTTGAGGATCTACAGCCGAGTGATAGACAAATAAGACACATTTTTGTTACTAGTGAAGGTATTTGAATATATTTGTAATATTTAACTCTTTAAAGTGTCACTTAAAAGCTAAGAATGTCTAGGACTTTTAATGATAGGAGGTGCACTAGGAGTCTGAATAAAAGCATAAATGCAGAAATGAAATGAAGTTCCTCCTCTTCCTTCATCAAAGGATCATAAACTAGTACAAGGGGCTCAATCTGGGGCCATTCACATTGAGTAATCCATGCTGTCTAAGAGGTCTTTCGACAATTTTCTCCCAGCATCTACATGTGTCTGTGTGTCTAAGTGGAGACGGCATCTTCTAGCAAAGTCATGGTACCGTTTAACCCTTGGAATGCCACCCGACAAAGCCGCACTTAAGTAGTTTTACGTTCTGTTCATCTGCTAAGATGCTGCCTGTTCCTGAGTGTTTCAGGTGCATTAAGCTCTGCAAAAAGCTTTGAGGCTCTTTAGAGGTAAATTGAAATGACTGCGGTTCTGAAATTGGGTCAAGTGACAGGAGAATGACAGCCGCTCATGCCACACTCACTTTGTCAGATCTTTAATGTGGGAGTAACTAGAAGTGAATTGTCTTCCCCTCTGCTGGTTAACGATGCTCTGAACAGGAATGTTGATTTAGCAGGTAGATGTTGGAGAGAAGAGAATGCCATCGCTGGTACAATAACTGCAAGAATGAATTTTTATTAACATGCAGCTTTTTTTCCGTTCATGAAGCAAGGTGAGGATCCCGTCTCTAGGGGCCAGCCTCCAGTGGCAGCATGAGAGGACACCATCACCTTGCCTTCTATCTCACAAATTGTCTTTGCTGCTGTGGACACTGGAGAAGCTGTACAGAGATACATGTACCCATACATGGAGACACTGAGTCTAGTGTATTGAGAGCAGATTATCACAGCACATGATTGCCAACTGCTGTGACAGGGATCAGATGAGCTCAAAGACTTTGGGCTATGTTTTTTGACCTCTGCTGATGAAGCAGAAATAATCCATCAACACAATATATATATCACTCGTTGAGAAGCTCTCTCTAGGCATGTAATTGCACATACAGGTGAAACTCGAATAATTAGAATATCGTGCAAAGTTTATTTATTTCACTAATGCAACTTAAAAGGTGAAACTAATGTATGAGATAGACTCATTACATGCAAAGCAAGATAATTCAAGCCGTGATTTGTCATAATTGTGATGAATATGGCTTACAGGTCATGAAAACCCCAAGAACCCCAAATCCACAACCTCACAAAAGTAGATTATTACATGCAATCAATAAAACAAGGATTGTACATAGAACAATATCGGACCTCTGAAAATTACAAGCATGCATATGTACTCAGTACTTGGTTTGGGCCCCTTTTGCAGAACTTACTGCAATTACTTTTGCACAATATTCGAATTATTCGAGTTTCACCTGTATACAGTAAGAGTCAATGCACTAAAGTATAATGCCTGTTGTATTTTAATTACTGTGCCCTACTTATCGAAAATGGTGTTTCAGTTGACTAAAGGTATTGTTGCCTAGATCAGCTAAAGTTCAGGCAAGCACGCTATTCACTTTTAAATGTAAAATATTTACAAACATTAAAGTGTATTTATAGCTAAATAAATTGTAGACTGGGGATGCAACAGGAAGGCAATTTCAGGCAAGCATGATCTGTGGTTGATCAGCTTCAATGTGTTGCAACAGTGACATTAGGGGTCTAACAGACTTTGTGAGTTTGTGAGCCCTCTATGTGATAGCAATAAAGTTGTAAAAAAAAAAAGCTTAAAAAAATTAGGTGAAATAAAATAAATATGAAAAACACCCCAAAAGTATGCTTTGCTTTGCACATGCAACAAACGTGTCGGGTGCACCTACGTATGAACCCGGCAATTACGTCACACATGTTAGGTAACGCCCCATATGCTGGAGTGAAAGCAATAATTCTAAGATCAAGATTAGTGGTTAACTCTAAATTGATGATCTGTAAATGCTTTTAAACCATCGCCTACAGACAATTTGGGGGTACCGTAGCTTTTTACCATTTCACAAACGCATGCAATTTTGACATCTTTGCTAACAGTTTACTATTCACTATAGCCTGTACAGCTCCCGAAGGCGTCTGCGCGCCTCAGCCGAGCCGAAGGCATATGTTTCTGCTCGACTGAGCCGAAGTGACAGGCAAAGCGGGGTGAACGGCTGGCCGAAGGCCGTACGCCTCGCAAAAGACAGCTCAGTTGTGATCAGTTGTGATCTCCGCCCAGTCGTAATGAGAGAGCAGCGTCCCCAAATGACCTGTGGACGCTGATCTGTCATTAAACAATAAAAACTGAATAACACCCGGCCAATGAATAACACCCAGTTGTTATTCATTGGCCGGGAGCTGCTAGAAGACTCTAGCAGGTGCCGGCCAATAGGAAACAGTTGGGCGGAGCTAGATGACTGCTAACTCTGCCCATTCCCCCCCCTTTAAAAAAAATCTTTATTGCTTTTTTTTAAATGTATTATTTATTTACATTTGTAAAAACATGATTTCATCTTTTTTTTCTTTTTTCATCTTTTTTCACTATTTGCTATTCTGCTCGGTACCACGGAGGTACTGAGCAGAATAGCTGAGCTGAATGCCTTTTGGTGGCATTCGGCAATTCACTCACTGCTGTTTAGCCCCTATGTGAATGGGGTGCATGGCAGCGAGTCCTTCTGCACTTTGGCTCAGCCGACATGCAGAGCATGTTCGGCTGACCAAAGTGCAGCTGAAGGCAGCCAATGTGCGGCTGATTTCAGTTGATGTACGGCTGATTTCAGCCGATGTACAGCTGAAATCAGCCGTATTGAGACGGAGTGAATAGCCGAACGTTGTTCGGCTCACTTCACTACGGCTCAGTTATTCACTCGGCTACCATCGGCAGCTTGGTAAATAACCCCGTTAGTTTCAATTGAGAAAATGGTGCTTTAGGCTCCCCTAATTCTCTCCTTCACGAGAGATCACATGACCTATTGCATAGGCCTCCAGACTTGTGAGCAGCACTGAAGGAAGCATGTAGCAGTATTTTCTCCTCTAGAGGTATTTCATCTCTTCTAATAATCTGTATCCATGGCAGCAAGTCTAACATTGCTTTTATGCCAACACTGAGTATTACAGTAATTCATAATATTAATATAAAAATCGATTAAAACTTACAACAAGAAGCAGAGTGTAAAGAGTAAGACCAGGAAGATTGGGGTTGGTGCACAGAGAGCTCCTTCACATGGCAGGATTTTTCTTCCACGATAGCGGAATGTACAGAAAATGATCCCAAATACCAGAGCGAAGATGATAAAAAGAATTGCAATGATGGCACAGGCCACATATCCAGCTTCATATTTTACTACCTATAATGAAAATAGAAATGGCACAATAAAATATGATAGCAGAGCAATTCTAGTTTTCTTCAATTGTGATTATTATATACCAGGAGTTTCCATTCTTAAGGTGCCCATACACCGTACAATTATCATATGTTAATCGTATGCGATCGTGTTTTCGTCCGATAATCACAAGGTTAATGGGCAGTGTACAACCACAAATACTGCACAATCGACTTTTGACTTTCAAGCAGGTTTGAAAACTTTGGTCGATCGTACGATTTTCGCAAGGTTAGTGGCGTTTCCGTACGTCAAAAATCGTACGATCTAAACTGCTCATGCGCAAACGAAAATACATGCGGTCGATTGCCGCAATTCGTCCAGGTGCTTTTCTTTAATTATGGCTAATTGAACCTTGCGATAATCAGGGCAGGATGGGGCCGCCGCACGAAAATCGTACGACGTTCGATCATCGGACGAAAAGTGTCGTACGATAATCGTAAGGTGTATGGCCACCTTTACAGTAAACTCTGATTGGCTGTGTCCATTTTAGAAGCAGCACCTAATCTAATCAGGAAGTCAGAGTTCAATAAGTATTTAGTGATTTTTCAATCATCACTGAGCAACAGATGTGTGATTTTATGTTTTACACTGAGCCTAACGCGACTGCTGACATTCATTTTACTACTGGTGTTCACTGGTACTTTATGAATGGTTGACACAGATTTTGCATCAGATTAGTGACTGGGACACTTTGAGAACTATAGTTTATGTTGAATGGTATGTAACCTGGAGTGGTGGCCCTAATTGGGTTGCACAACGCCAAGGGCACTTGCTTATAGATCAACAGCTATATTGACACAGTGCAACTTCACTTGGCAGCAAACCTTTCTTAAACCCTTCTTGAGTTACTGCACAGATGAAATCAACATGCATCAGTAAACATCACATTGTTATGAACATTAATTCACTTGCTTACCATCTTCAGCTGTAGGTACATATAGTAAATTTCAAGAAAGACAATACTTTTCTTTTTTTAAATGGTTGCTCAGAGAGAACGTATTTTTGTAGTGCCTCCTAGCCGCAAACTCATCTAAGCCTTGTAGTCTGCCTGGGCATACTGCATTGTTTGACAGAGATGGAGTGCCTGAGACCCTAAACCCATCTCTGGGGCTCACTTCTCAACAGCCTTCAGGCCACGTTGTTAATCACTAACTCCCTTCACCCGTTTCTTGACCTAGCTGGTCTTATGTCTCTGTTTCTAAGGTATAGATTTACTCTTCTTCCATAGGAATAACGAGAATCTGTCATCTTTTATCTTTAAATCCTTTTAACTCAATGGGAAGTAACACACAAATAGCAAAATAGGCAATCATCATTCCATCTTTCATGGCTGGCCAAGTCCAGGTCCGTAGCCCACCAATGAGGATATCTCTTTGTCAGACTGCTCCACTCAGGAAAGAACACCTGGGTTTCCCTCCATGTAGTGGGGAAGCCACATAGTTGGTCTGTCACATCTTCCTAGCTCAGAATGTATGGAAGTCTTGTTGCACTCCTTAACGGATATCCCAGCTGCCGGGGAGGGCTGCTTGTAGTGACTGCGGATGGCACTGCTTGTTGCACAAATCGTATAGGGAATGTCACCAGCAACCAACAAGCCCTTTAAGGATCACCAAGTGTTCATTTATTAAGAACCATGCCATGTTTAAACAAGTGCTTTCAGAGCCGCGCAGGATCCTTCCATCAGGCTTAGCATCGTCAATGCTAAGCCTGATGAAGGAACCCTGCGTGGCCCCAAATTTGCTTTTTTAAACTTGTCATGGTTCTTAATAAATTAACACTTGGTGATCCTTAACAGAATTTTTGGTGTGCTAGTGACATTCCCTATATGATCTTCCTACCTCAGTCCCCTCCCTAAGTTTCCCACTAGGACACAGAATAGACCTCATTCTTTTCCAATCTACTGACTGACCCCAAACACACTACCTGACTTTACCCAAAGGTGGCCATGCCTATTCCTAACAGACCTTACAACAAGGAACTTAAAAGCACATAGTCTTCATTGATTAGCTGGCAGCCTTTCCAGCCTTAAGGTGCCCATACACTGTACGATTATCGTACGAGAATCGCAGGAAATCCCGCGATCGTACGATAATCGTACAGTGTATGGAAGGCGTGTGACCGTTTCTACTGTACGGTCGCACGTCTTCCGTCGAACAAGCTGGCTTGTTCAACGGAAGCAGGTTAGTGGCCTGCTTGTTCGACAACTGCCGAACGGGCTGGCCCGTTTGCAGTGATCGGAAGCCCGCCCCTCACTGCGGTCATCGGAAACCCGCCCCTCATGGGGGCAGGCTTTCGATGATCGCAAGTACGATCTGCCTGTCCAAGATGGGCAGATCGTTTAAGCTTTTAATTACCTTACAACCATCACAGGATGAAAGTCGTGCGATGGTTGTAAGGTGTATGGGCACCTTAATACTTCCAGGAGTTGTGCCTAGTTGCCCCATACATGCACCTGCAATTTGCCTATGGCACCAGAGCTTTAACATGCAGCAGCTTTCTGGCTGGCTGGCACATGGCACCTCTACATAAAATGTGCCACTTGACATCACAGCACACTAACATCACAGCACATACACAAAGTTGGGTGGCAGAAGGTGATGCGTACAAACTCCCCTGCTCATGGACAGGGGGAGAAGTAGCCCTACGGAAATCTGCATATCCCTTCCCCAAACCAGTAACCATCAATAAACAAGTTGCAAGTTATAGGAATAAATTGGGTTTTCAGAGACCAAGCTGTACAGGGTTACTGGTTCTTTAAAGCTCAGTTGAACTTTTAGTTTATTGAGCTAAATACATTATAGGTACATAAAAGCAATATGTGTGCAAGGTCTTACAGTTTTTTCTTTAGAAATCATCCACTCCCTGGTTAGAAAGGCCTGTCCCCTGCCAGCATGCTGTAGAGAAGGACTTTTACTCTCTATGTAGAAGCAGTGGTCTCTCTGCAGCAAGCTGACACATTACCTTCAGAGCCAGACCTATAGCTCTGCAATCAGTAAACCTCATGCACTGTGCATATTGAAAAGCTCTAGCTTTGACTCAGTAGGGGCATTTGAAAAAAGATCTCTGCTTCCATACAGAGAGCAAGGGTCTAGCAGGGTGTTACAGATTGGGGGAGTTGGTCAGGTGTCTGCCTTTCCCTACAGCCTGCCTCAAGTGTTGTAGAGTAACGCTAGGTGGAATTCTGTCGCAGCGATTGCTCCATTCACATTGTTGTTCATTCTAACCCTAACCCTAAGTCCATATAAGTGCACAGGGCGACCAATTGGCTACATTGGTTGCGTTGGAGGAGAGTGGCGACACTCCTGGGGTTTCTACCTGTGTGAGTGAAGTGAAATGAGCAAGTTCAATCAGTGAGGCTTTGGCGGTTTACTATGGGGCCGATTCTAGGGCCACCAATGTGGTGCGACATATCCTGAGCACTAAAGGGGGCTTGGCCCCACCATTCAGCCATTTGATCTAGTCAGCCTACAAAGATCCTAATCTACAGCATGCTGGCAGGGCAAAGACTTATCTACTTAGGCCGTGGCTGCTTTCTAAAGAAAATAAACTGTATGACTTTGCACAACTTTTATTTTGATGCATCTGGAAAATATTTAGCTCATGTAAATGGAAAGTTGGGCTTTAAGGACTAGTCTGCATATCCTAAAATGAGTCCGTGTGTTCTGGGCACAATGGACTATTCTGGCCTTCAGGCATTGAGCACTGAACTTCAGAATTTTCCCTGCACAACCATTTTCTTGGCAGTTTTTGTACTTGAGATTGACTAAAGAGATACTGTAAAATACTATACAGTGTGTAGCACTTCTCAGTATAAATGTGACAACATGTATGCTAGAACCGCATATAGCACAGCATTTTACTCACTTCAGCAGTTTCCAAGAAAGAGGAATTTGTGAAAAGAACACGCAGCAACTCTAGAAGATAAAATAGAACAAAGGTGACTAGAAAACAAAAACAAAAGCGTCATATTGATATTTAAGTATTAACGGAAAAAGTTGTGTTTCCTGATCGTGGCCTAAAAATTGAACTTTCTAAACCTCAAGGATCCAGTTATATATTTTTATAAGTTGCTTGCCTGCTAATCACAGAATACCCCTTAATTCCTTTATGATGGGTGGTGCAAAAACCTTTGTGATATGTCCAAATTTTACTTATACCACATAATATATCATAAAACTAGCACTTTTTTAAATAAAAAAATGTAAATCTTAAAAATGCATTCAAGTACTATTCACAATAGCCAGTACAGCAGCCGAAAGGCAGCCGAGCAGATCAGCCGAAGTCACAGCTGAAGCAAAGAGAACGGTCTGCTGAAGACTCTCCTCCCAAATGTAAACAAGGGCGAAGCCAGCTGGCTCCACCCAGTTGTCATTTAATGACAGCCCAGTGTGCTCGAGGAGACTGTGCTGCCACTGAATGACAACAACTGGGCGGAGCCAGCCGTGACATCACAGCTGGCTTCGCCCACTTGTTTTGATTTTTCTGGGACCTGCAGGAAGACAGTAACAGGTGCTCGACAAATGTAAACAGTTCGGCGTAGCTAGCGGCGATGTCACCGTTAGCTCCGCCCAATTGTTTATATTTTGCCGGCATCTGTCAGAATTGTATTTTGCGGCGGGAGATCATTGCATGCGGATGGGTCGGTGGGTGTTGGTTTTTGTTCATTTGGATGAGTCATCATCGCCACGGACAACGCTGGGCGTCGTGATTGACCCTGGATTACATAGTTGGATCAATTTTTGGGAATTTATTTTTTAATAAAGGAATTGTCAAAACTTTGTGTGGTGTTTTATTTTGATTAACCTCCCTGATTATGGAGGATTTTAGCATTCCAAAGCGGTACATTGTTTTTCATGGCAGTTTGTTGTTTTATATTGTAAATCGTAGGAATAACTCACCTAAATCTGTCCAAACAAGAGTGCAGTAGACATCCCAGGTATTATAAAGTTTGAAACATGACTCGTCACTTTCAGTGTCTGATGACGAATTTCCCAACTAATCGCTATCACTCAATTCTGCAAGTAATTCTAATTTACTATTGCTGTTTTCTACCTGGTCTAAAACCGCTTTAGACATAAAGGGACGTTCATAAGTTTCCAGGCAGAAAGGAAAAGTGCAGGCAAAGTGCAGGCAGGGCACTGGACAAAGCTCTGGGGACAAAATGAAGTGAAATAGTTTGATACATAAATGTAATTATAGCAGATTACATTGTATTGTGTGTATTCTGTGTAAATGTCATGTTTTCACTTTTGAATTTCCTGCCGGCTCCGCCCCCTGTTGTGACGGGCGAAAACGAAACTGAAAGCCGAATGCCGGCATCGGCCGGGCGCACACAGCAGAGGACACCGCGGGCTCGCAGAGACAAGGTTAAGTGACACTTTTGTGCTATCCCGAGTGTGGCTCGGGGTTACCGCTTTTGGTACTGAAAATTGCCAGGTCTATGCTCGGAATAAGGGTCTGGTTGGGAATTATAGTGCAAGAAAGTAAGGTGATATTTTTACAGTTCCTTACTCTAATTATAGAAAGTTCCTCTGTTCCATCACCTGTTCAGTGTCTCCTATTTCATTATGCATACATACCAGGATTAAGCATCCTAATCATTATTGTATCACTCATAGGTAGACCACAATGTGCCCATTGCCTGATTTCTACAATCCAGTGCTGCCATCTATCATGAATTTATAATACACCTGTAGCTGCACAGCTTATATCCCTATTCTAAAACGTTGCTATATATGATACTTCTGGTATTGAACTGCACTGTAAATCAAACCTTTTTTGCTCTCCTATTAAGTATTTGTTGTCAATTTCTCCTACCTTTTGGGAAGGGGTTTTCCTTACTCTAATTATAGAAAGTTCCTCTGTTCCATGTGTATTGTAGCTGCATCTTATACACAAACAGTAGTTCTCAGTGCCTAGATTGCTGGACTATTAGAAAAGGTTTGTTTTCGTGCAAAAGATTCTGGTGCAGGAGAGGTGGGCAAAGGTTAGTGTTAGGGTTACAGGAAGAGTTGGTGTTAGAGTTATGGTGAAGGTAAAGGTTAGTGTTAGGACTACAGAGAGGGTTATTGTTAGGGTTTACGGGGAGGGTTAGTGTGAAGGTTAGGGTTGGGTTTGAAGGGAGGGTTCATGTTAGAATTACAGGGAAAATTTATGTCAAGTTTAATGCCAGGACCAGAGGGAGGCTTACTGTGTTATTCACAAAAGGGTGAAGAGTTTGGAGTTTGGAGAAGGCAGAAAAGTGAACAATCTAGGACAACATAGCTGAGCTCAAAAGTGAGCTGAAATTGGATAATTTTTCCAAATCAGCTATTTTGGCCTCAATCGTTCACTTTTCCTGCCTTCTCCAAACTTTTAGTGTTAGGGTTCAGAGAAGGTTACTGTGAGGGTTAATGATAGGGTTACAGGGTAGTTTAGTGGTAGGGGGAGTTTTGAAATTACAGTGAGGGTTCAGAGTGGGTTACTGTGAGGGTTAGTGATAGGGTTACAGGGTAGGTTAGTGTTAGCTGGCATCGCATTGCGGCCGGCTCACTATGTTATGGGGCAGGAGGGGGCGTGGCGGTCCATTGAAGTGAATGGCACCGTAGCCTATAACCAGTAACAAAATAGTGCTTGCAGCATTTTGTTTGGACCGGACCGCAGGCATTGATGCCTTGCGTTCCCGTGCGGCCGAAGGGCATGGCTACGCTGTCATTCACTTTAATGGACAGTCCCGCCCCCTCCTGCCCCACAACATAGTGAGCCAGCCAAAATGCGAGGAAGTGCGTTCCGGCCAGAATCCGTCCGGAACGCGGTGTCTGGTGTGAACGAGGCCTGAATAGTATCTTTTTAGAATTTCTGGTTTGATTTATTTTTCTTGCACCATACTGTGTTTACAGTTGGCCCACTGAGGCAAAAACATAATCTTTCCCTTAAAAAACACCCCTGTAAACAGTGCACAGCCCACCGTGTTTGATATGTATATTGTCATAATAGCACTTCTCTGTATTATTTCAAATTGCTTTTAAAGATGACACCAAAATAGTAATTAACAGTTTAAATCTTATAATTGTTTGGATGTCCTCTGTGTAGCAGTACAGATGCATGGGGCTGTAGCAGGTGGGCTTCTAAATGGATAACAGCCTGGAATTGCCCGCTAGGGGGCGCGCGCGAGCAGAAAAAAATTGCAGTGCCGTCCGTCCGTTTTTTTACTACGGGAGGACGGCAAGAGGTTAATATCAGCTCTGGATCTTTAGTTATTATACATAGGAAGGTTCGTATCTTAAATAAAACACCAGGTAGAAAATCCCATGAGAAATATCATGTCTCATCAGAGTGAGACACTACCTTGCATTGCAGTCATTACTCTTGAAGGCTAGACATATCATACTGCACACATGGTCTACTTTCAAATGAGACACCATAGTAAATTACACTGTATGGATTTCTCTTTGATGTATAAACATCTATCACCACTGATTAGAGACTGTATGCATGCTGCCATCACCTGTTCAGTGTCTCCTATTTCATTATGCATACATACCAGGATTAAGCATCCTAATCATTATTGTATCACTCATAGGTAGACCACAATGTGCCCATTGCCTGATTTCTACAATCCAGTGCTGCCATCTATCATGAATTTATAATACACCTGTAGCTGCACAGCTTATATCCCTATTCTAAAACGTTGCTATATATGATACTTCTGGTATTGAACTGCACTGTAAATCAAACCTTTTTTGCTCTCCTATTAAGTATTTGTTGTCAATTTCTCCTACCTTTTGGGAAGGGGTTTTGCTGGACGGCATTCAGAAACAACCGCTGCATGTTATAAAGGGGAGCCAGAGCATCAGAATGTCTTCTCACAAAAGATATATTCTGTTTACTTCCAACTTCATCAAATATTAGTTCTTCTGATCCTGAAACTAGCTGGCATGTCTGCGCTGCCACCAGTCCCATATTATGAAGAAGGACGCAATAAATGACGAGGTGCCAGACACCTATCCTTAAATCCAACAAGCCCATCTTTTCACAACCCAGGTATGGCATCTTTGTCACCAGTCAGATGTCAGAGGTCCCATTATACTCCTATTCCAGAATCCCTGGATCACTACAGTCACATCTATACTTGGTGTAAGGAAGTCAATAGCTGAGAGCAGTAACACTCCTACAGCTACTGTGAGAGTGTAGGGCATGTCGTTTGATGAACCTGATGTACTTGTTTGTGTTGGGGCAGGTCCAGCATTCTGCTAGAGCATCCCCAGCACATCCTCTAGCACTGAGTCACAAACAACTAGGATAAAACAGGAGAGTCTCATTAGTAATTAGCAGGCGAATACATCAAGGTCATCACATCAGCTGCACTCCCACTGATAGATCATACCAGTGACATCTTGCTCAGGTGAACCACCATTCCTGTGCAGAAAATATCAACAGGAGTTGGGAAACAGGCTGTTTCAGATAATTATAAACACATTTAGGACAAGCAGACATGATAACCAAAAGGAATACCCAAGGAATATCATAAGACAACATTGAAGCAAAGCAGTGTCCGTCCTTTTGGGTGCCCTGGGCTAGACAACTACCATTGCCCCCTTCCCCCATGTGACCACTAAACATAACCACAGCATAAGCAACATAATCATTAGACATGTGCGATTCGTTTCGTTCCGAATCGAAATTCGGACGAATTTTCGGAAATTTGGACATTCGGATGTATCCGAATTCCGAATTACAGACATAACGAATGCAAACGAATCCGAATTTCCGTTTCCGAAATTCGGTAGCGTTAGTTCGAACGTTCGTTTCGTTTTCGTTTCTTATTCGTTTCTTATTCGTTTCGTTCGTTGGAGCAAAGTGACATTAGAAAAGGACATAAACATTTTTTCCCCCTCAAATGTCACTTTGCTGCAAACGAACGAACGAAACGAATAAGAAACGAATAAGAACCGAAAACGAAACGAACGTTCGAACTAACGCTACCGAATTTCGTCCGAATCCGAATTCCGAATCCGAATTGACTTTCACACCCAAATCCCGAAAAACGAAATAACACAAATCCGAATTTGAAACGAAACTAAACAAATTTTTTGGCAGCGCACATGTCTAATAATCATGTTTTAGTACAGAAGTAAACACATATGGGGCATAATTATTAAGCAGTGAATGTGTCATTCGCCAAACATGCATTTTTCCCATAGGAGATATGGGAGCATCTCCAAGTACAATATCTAATATCTCTCACTTCTGTTCACTTTCTCCTGCCTTTCTTCTGGCTAGCTTTGTGATTCCCTTATGGAGATCTTGCCTTTTTTGATACGATATGGGCCCCTTTTTTCATGCCTAGATGCTGTTTATCCCACTCCACGATCTAGGAAAATTCCCAACCTTTGAATTCTTTGAATTATTGAACATTGCCCTATGGGAGTATCGGGTGCCTTCACTGAGCATCGGTAAGACTGGAACCTCTATACACACATTGATGTAATGTCTCATCTTTTTGTTTATCATTTTCTACTTATTGTCGGTGGTTACCTGCTCATGAAAGTTATTGGCGTATTGTATACTTTGGACTGTTGAGTGCATTTATATCTATGACGCATATATATATTACTTTATACTTTTTATCCTATGCTGATCAGACAATTCATATGATCATTTTATATCTTCATATCTTTACTTTAGACCACTTCTAGACCTGAAGAAGCGTAGTGATACGCGAAACGCGTTGTCACACATATCCAACCAGCTTCAACTCCCTGGGTTTAAATTAAGAAACTATATTAAGAATACCACTACTAAAATCATCTAAAAACATGTATTTCTGTTAAATGCATAAACAAGATGTGAATGGTCGACACATACCAATTGATTATAGGGCGACAATTTAATAATTAGGATATGGGTCAACTAATCATGTTATATCAAATCATGTCTAGTTGCAGCGGATGAAATGCTGAATCTAGAGTATACAAACATATTAAAAAGTTCATCCAGCTGAACCCTGTTGAACTTTATAGTATCTAGGAACTTTAATGAATTATTTCATATCAGTCGCCCCATCAGTTGAAGTGTGTCAACCACAGTGTGGGAGTTGAGACCCACTAATGAACTGTATCTATGCATTAACTTTTTTAATCAATCATGTTAACTTGATTTTGCTAATCTTGAGTTTGCTAATCAGTCAATACCCAGGACAGCGGTGGATATTAGAAGTGTCTGTGCTCATTATTACTTTCGTTTCATTTCTTTATTCTTTTAATCATGCATCTAATAAACTTTATACATTTTATATAAAAAGATTATTCTGAACCATCATTTGGAGTGCCATAGAAACCCCATCTTTCCAAACACTCTCTTCTTCTAAACATTTACTTCAGGTGACTTTTCCCGGTGAGTGCTGTAATAAGCAGGACAATTTTTCACCACCATTTACTGCTTAAATATGCCCTAGTGCCCACCCCCCTACAATGATTGCTTTGGCATTTAGTTTCCACAAGTGTTAAATTCATTTGCATATTGTGAATTTACATTGTACATCCTTTACAATAATTGGATATGTACCTAACCGATTGAAGCCTTAGGTCATCTAGGTTACTCAAATATAATTAGAACCCTTACTGAGAACTGCGAGTTCTGCCCTCATGTGGATAATGGTGGATGATGATGATGATCATGATGTGCTGTCATTCTTCTCCCTAATTTAGATAATATGTACTGGTGCACGTGTATGAATTAATTATATTCTGTTTTAGAGAAAGGCTTATGGTTGCTCATCAGTTGTAGAGGGTGGTGTACAGAGAAAGCGAGCAGCAGAAAATACAGGTCTGAGAAGAAGTGCAGCAATGAACCCCTAAATTTAATGGGCCCTCACAGCCTTTCCTGGCTTACTGCTGATGCACTCTCTGACCCACCAGTAGCGTCTGAATGCCCTACATTCACTCTGTCAATCATTTCTTGAGGCATTTATTGACTCAAAGTCCAGAGGAGAGAGGACCTAGGCTAAGGGTATGCAATTATGCAATGTGTGCCGTTAAGCAATTGATTGAGCAAGCTTTCTGAAGATGCTCCACTTTTCTGGCCACCTTCCTATATGCCAAGCCCTAGCATAGGCCCATTTCCTAGTCCCTGAGACTGGATTCTGAAGCTGGTAAAGCCCCTCCAAACAACAGGCCTGAGAGGCAGAAAGGCTCTTCACAGTGAACCTCCTCACTAGGTAAAGCCTGTTAGGCAGAAGTCCAGATTTCTCGACTGATAGCCTTTGAAGGCAAGGACTCGGAGGCAAAGACATTGTAGAAAGGCTCCCTGAATATTTCCTTCCTCAGCCTACATCACTGGCAGCAAACCTCCTAGTGATTGGCCAGGGTGAAATAAATATTCATAAGTCATACATTTTGTATCTCTTGCTCAATTCACTGGAGAACACTCCCCGGGAGCAGGCAGTAGTAAACAATGCCCCAGGCTTAGGGAAAACCCAACAAGGGCAGAACACATAGAAAATCATAGCTCAGGCTGGCTACAGCCTAGCTGTCCACTAAAGTTAGTCTAGTGGCACTGCAACTTTGGCAGGCCTGCTACATATGGCTTTAATGTGGGGTGTACTGCCCATTTTTTTCTAAGCTGCCCCATGCATAAAGTAAATGTCATGTGGGGAGCAGGCTTGATACCGCTATCGATGCTCATACTGGGCAGTGCTGATACTGGGCGGTGCTGATACTGGGCATACCCGATACTAAGCTCTGATAACGGCCCTTTCAATTGTTAAATAAAAGAGACTGCCTGAGGTCCCGTGCTTGGCCACCGTAGACTTTGACAAACCACAGGCAGTGAGGGCAAATCTCCCCAGCTGGAACTTGGTTACCACATAGGAAGTAATGTCTCCCTAGTGGAACATGGATTGAAGTAAAAAAAATACTTACAGATTGTCTAGCCTATCAAAAGGTTTTGCCAACAAATAGAAACAATAGCATTGCATTTTTATATCTTTTTATTTTGTTGTATATTAGGCTGACAAATGTAGAAAATTCATGCATCCAGGCCATTTAGCAGTATTCAGCAGTTCCTGGCTCTGAACACTGGACACTGCAGACAATTATTCCACACAGTTCTTTTTTTCCCAAAATGAATATGACATTGTGACATTAATCCTCTCACTGACAGAATATGTTGCTTTGGCTTATAAGTGAACTGTTGCATATCGAATCCTCTTCTTCCTGGTGACATTCCCTTTAAACTGTAATGGGATAAACTAGCATTTAAGAACATGAATGCAGCATCATAATAACGTTATAACTTTTGCACTGTAGCTTGATGATAATGCCAGTGTATCCCTCCATGTGGATGGGATAGCACACATTTTCCCAAGAAAAAGCAAACAGAAACGAGAGCTAACTTTACCTTATTTAACCTCGTACTCACATGCATGGGGGACATTTAAAGTGGAAGTCTAAAAAATAATAGCTGATAGCCATGCTTTCTATGACAGAAAAGACTTTGTAAGTCTCCTGTGTGCATGTGCCGGAGTTACATCATAAGGGCCTGACCACTCAAATGGCTGAAGAATCTGAACCTAGAAGACAGGGACTAAGTTGGAAGTGCCAGTGAGGGAGAAGCGCAGCACTGGAGAGGACAAATCAAATGGCTGAAGAATCAGAACCCAGAAAAAGGCCAGCATAAAGATGATAGTGCCAGTGAGGGAGGAGCACAGTACTGGAGGGGACCAACAAAATGGCTGAAGAATCATAACCCAGAAGACCAGAATGAAGATGATAGTGCCGGTGAGGGAGGAGTACAGCACTGGAGGGGCCCAATCAAGTGGGAAAATAATCAGAACCCAGAAGAAGACCAGGGCGAAGATGATAGTGCTGGTGGGGGAGGAGCGCAGCACTGGAGGGCAGTGCTTGGCAAACCTGCCATAGTGTGCTACTATGCTGTGCATGCTAGCACATTATGGCTAAAAGCTCCAGAGGGCTTCTCCCCTTACTTTTCTTCCACTTTAAGAGCATATTTTTAATGCAGTGAATGTGACTTTTACCACGCCTTCACTGGTTGTCAATTAAACACTATCATTTAAAACACATGCAGGAGTGAATAGTTGGGGAATAACAG